ATCAACCCATCCACAAAAGCGTTCTATTCTGTTCGGTCCCTTGACATTTCCAACCAAGCAACACAAAAAGAGCAATACAAACACTACAAAAACACAAACACACAGTAACCATGATGTCCTCTATAAGAATTTTCCGTGTCTCCAACGGCCTGCAGCGACGTGCCTTGTCATCCGTGGCAGCACGCAGCAGTGGCGACTACACCAAGCAAGACGTCTTGAACTTGTTGAATCAGGTAAGCACAGTACAGTACAGTACGGCAATGTTGTTGAAAATACACGTGAACGTGACTGATGAATGACTCACTGTATTGTATTGTTGTGAATGAAATTACAGAGATCACAAGAACGCAATGACTTGGCGTACTCGACGGCCTTTGGAGATGACACGGCGTTTTCCTTGTCCAGTATGGTGGAACCATCGGCGTTGATGCGCGAACAACTGAGGTTCAGTCAAGATCAACTGCTTCATTCTACCGTACAAGCACAAGCGTCTCTAGACACTATGGCACTCCCCAAGACACTGGAGGATGTCGTCCGACAAAAGAGTCGCGCCATTGTGGTGACCGAGACGGAAAAACCCTTTCGCGTGGTCGATGTCAATGAATGTTGGGAAGGATTGTGTGGATACTCGTTTCGGGAAGCACATGGCAAGACATTGGGGAGTTTGCTCAATGGACCCGCCACCAATCAAGTCGCCGCCACGGGGCTCATTGCGCACTTGTTGGCAGGCGAAGAAGCGGGCGCGGTTCTCGTCAATTACAAAAAGGACGGACAAGAGTTTTGCAATCGCATTCGCGTTGGACCCATTTACGATGGGGACAATAAGATTACCCATTTTGTGGGTGTGCTGGAGGAACTACCACAACAACAACAACAGCAACGACTCATGAACATGATGTAATCACCACAATACAATAAACTACAATGCGCTCGATTATACTGTACAGCAGTAGAAAGACTGACAACAACAACAACAACAAGAATAAACAAGAGTTGTCGTTGATGGGTGAAGGCAATAACATACAAGAAGAAAGAAAGGAATGCAGTGTAAAATAATGTTTTCTATTCGATCTGTTAAATTTCATCGGTACTATTAATAGTAATCACCATCTTCCCAGCTAGCGCTACTCGTACGGTAGAGGTGACCGTACCGGTATTTGCTACACGTCGTCAAAGGTTCGTAATGGCAAGCATACACGCTAAAATTGCGATGGTAGGTATCATCTGCCTACGCGCCATGGTAATAGCTAGAGTAGCTCCTTGGCTCTAAACTTCCCCTGCTTGTCTTGTTGGCTACTTCGTACCGTACCGGTACTAGCTACATGTAGTATGGACAAGGATCTCGCTCCCCCCAAAAGGCTGGCAACTATTTCTGCTTCCGCTGGAATTTGTCATGGGTTGGCCGGAAGTTCCAATTGGCACGAAGGTACCGTACGTACCGTTCGCTCCAGGTGGAACTACTAGTAGCCTAGTTGGCTCTCCAGGATGTTCCAGGTTGCAGTTTGTCAACCTGGATGTAGCTAGTTCCAGAGAGCTACATGTACATGCTACCGGTGGCTGCGCAGTGCTGCTACCAGTACCTAGCTAGCAGCTAGCATCACAGAATGTCATATTGGGGGGCTTTCTGGCTGCGACTCTCTGCTCTACCGATAGGTGGAGTAGTATACTAGGTGGTGAACCTGGGCTCTCCCAGTGTACGACCGGTACCGGTACCAGCGAAAAGCTACCTGTGTGCTTCCAGGCTCCATCAACGTTCCTTTGCATAAACTGAAGCCAACATGTCCAATGTCCTCTTTTGGACTGACCTCTTCTTTCAGAAGATCCGCCCAGAGCCGTCTTTGCATGAGATACCTCGAAGCTTGCTAAAAGTAGGCAGCACCTCCGCTGCAATAATGCGGCATCAAGATATCATGATGGGCAGTGGTACTGAAATACAGAAGCAGTCATGTAACTACCTTAGTCTACCCGTACGATAGCAGCAATACATCCAACACCCATGCCAGCAACACATCCAATACCTGCTTCATCTTCTGATGGAAAACCCGATGGTTGAAAAAGGGGTGAAAGGCATAAAAGGGGGTGAAAGCAAAAGAGAAAAAGGGGTTTCACGCACGGCGAATGCCTGAAGACCACGAAATGACGTCAGTGAGGGAAAGAAAAACTCCAACTCACCCCAAGTGAAAATCGCTGCCCTTGCGTCAACTGATCATAATATTGCCGTTATTAGGACCATGAGAATATCCTTCCTTCTCTTCTTGCTTGGCACGCTGTCGGTGGATGCGTTCGCACCAACAGCAAGAGTATCGACACGGTTTCGTCTTGCGGCAGCTACGGAATCAGTCCCACAACCAGACGTAGAAGAAGTTGATGTGGTCGTGGTGGGTGCTGGCATTGGTGGTCTTTCCTGTGCGGCCCTGAGTTCTTACTATGGCTTAGAGACGGTCTGCCTGGAGGCTCATGATACGGCTGGTGGAGTGGCCCATTCCTTTGATCGGTATAGTTCAGCCTCCAAGACGGTTCCCTTTCGGTTTGATGCCGGTCCTTCCTTGATTAGTGGTTGCAGTCGTCCCAGTACAAATCCATTGCGACAGCTATTGGATGCTGTGGGAACTTCCAATGAGATTGAATGGAAACAATACGATGGATGGATCATTCATGACTACGCCGATGGAAAATCTTTCAAACTAACCACGGGTGATTCGGGAGCATTTGAAAAGGCGTTGGAAGAAAAAGAGGGCAAGGCATCGCGAGAGGCTTTTGAAGACTTCAAAGACAAGATATTAGCCGATGGAGGTATTTCTGAAGTGAGCGCCTACATTCCTCCCTTTGCTCTCCGAGGAGACATTTGGATTGGGGCGAGTCTTGCACAGTACTTTCTCAAGTTGCTGCGGATTGGAACCAAAGGACTCCTATTGACTGGACCCTTTTCCAAGCTCATGGATATGTACGAACTCCAAGATGAATTCGTAAGAAAATTCTTTGATTACTTGGCGTTTGCATTGAGCGGGCTCGATGCTGCCCACACTCAAGCAGCACCGGTTGCCTACATGATGTCGGATCTGCACAAACCTGGAATGGTCTTGGATTATCCCATGGGAGGCATGGACTCGTTGATTCAATCTTTGGTCAACGGATGTGAAAAGCACGGGGGCCAAGTTCGCGTCAACAGTAGAGTGGACAGATTTCTCCTGGAAGAAGGATCACGTATTGTTGGTGGGACACAAGCAGAATGTCATGGTGTAGTTTTGGCAGACGGCAAGGTTATCAAGGCTCGAAAAGGTGTCGTCAGCAACGTGCCTTTGTGGAACATGGCGAGCATCCTAGATACCTCGGCAGGAGAAAACGATACCGGTGCCGTGGCAGAAGCGGTCCGAGAAATACGACAACAAGCCGATGGCATGGAAATGACAGGTTCCTTCATGCATCTTCATCTTGGAATCCCGAAGGACGGGTTGGGTGACGTTGAATGCCATCACTCGGTGCTGGACTTCAGCATTGACGTGACAGCAGAGCAAAACATGGTAATCATTTCCATACCGACTGTCTTTGATCCCAGTCTAGCACCCGAGGGATATCACATTGTCCATGCGTATACTGCGGCGTGCGACAGTTTCGACGATTGGCAAAAATACCTCGAAACCGAAAAGGATAGTGGAGTTGTTGGCAGCAGTCCCAATGCTGGAGCAGCTTCCAAATACAATACGGTGGATGGATACAATGAACTGAAAGAGCAAAAGGCAGAGGTTCTGTGGAAAGCTATCGAATGTGTCATACCCGATGTCCGTGATCGTGCCAAACAAGAAGGATCCATTGTAATGATTGGGACACCGCTCACACACAGACGCTACAATCAACGGTTTCGTGGGACGTACGGTCCAGCTCCAGGTCCAGGCAAAGATGTTTGGGAGCTTCCGGGAGCATCAACCAAGATCAAGGGTCTCTTGGCGTGTGGTGACACTACGTTTCCAGGTACGTTCTATGTGTCGAGTCCTCTACTTACTCGTGCTCTCTTGTTGCCAATTAGCTGATCTGTTGGCTCTTCATAGGTATTGGTCTTCCTGGAGTTGCAGCATCAGGGACGGTGGCCGCTAACACTTTGGTGGATGTACAAAAACAAACCGAGCTGATGAATCGTCTCCGAGAAAGCGGAGCGCTCCAGTAGAGAGGTGCTCTTACCACCAGAAGAACATGTACATACAACAGCTAGATGAGATAATTATACTAGCTAGCTAGAAGAGAGCTCATAACGATGTACGAATTGACTACTGTTAGCCCAAGACTCTGCTTCGTGATTCGTTGGCGGTAACTCCGACCCCCAAAGCAGTCGCGGTGGGATAGGTCGGATGCAAGCAATCAACCTACTCTATTCCGATATGACAGGACGCGTCTCCGTTGTCGAAGTTTGCGGTACGTTTCGCTACTCTTCAATCCACGACATTCTTTTATGAGGATCACCAGCTTCCAGGACAGTCAAAAGGAACGCCGGCGGCCTAGGACGCGGTGGTATTGGCTCGGGTATCCCATAGTCTGCGTTGTAGTTTCTGTGGAGGGTTTCCCGTGGTTCTGTAAACTCCGTAGAGGTCGACGCTGGAGGGGTCGGTGGAGGTGAAGGAGGATCGTCGTCGAATCGTACCGATTTAGACCCTTTGCTCACTCGTGGTGGTGGTGGCGGGTCAGGATCAGCCGTGTTGTCGTCCTGTTGTGGCACATCTCTTCCCGCAGGAGATGGAACAATTGCACCACTGGTTAGCGAACCAGAGTCCCCCGTGTTCAATCCAGTCAGGTTGAGACCGGTCAGAGCGCGAGCGGTCAACGTCATTCTTTCATTTCTCCGTCTCGTAAATGATTTCATGGCTCGTCGAATCAATGACTTGCCCGAAGGGCCGCGCTCCCGGCGCCTTCTGTCAAAGTGCAGGCTGTAGACAAGGTTTCCAATAACGAGCGCAATCACCGCGAAATCGTTCAAAAAAACGGCCACACACCGGACAAATACCCCCGTTTTGGAATCTGAACCGTCAATCAGTACGACGATTGGGACACAGATCAAAAATATTTGCAGATTCGAAATCACTGCCAGAGCGACGAATTTTCCCTCGGAAAACTGGGTTGGTATATCCCTGGAGACATAAATCATGTAGCACGCCACACCCATCAATAACAGGTGGAAGGTGCCAAGCACAGCAATGAAGATGGTGAAATGCTCTGACCTGCAAAAGCCCTCACTGCTCAGAGTGTATCCATATTGGTCGACAGTCACAGGTTCTCGATGCCACTCCCATGGATCCATGACTGTCCACACGGTCAAGATTGACACATCAATCAGCAATATTCCTCCAACAACCAGTATGGTTTCTTTGGCAGTGACAGTAGCTCGAGTCATGGTGGCAGCCGCCCTGAAAAGATAGTACACTCGCCTAATCTTTGCAAACAAACTGCCAAATGTGATTGAAAAACCGACAGAGTACAACCAAGGAGTCAGCATGCAAAATGGCACATTCTCCACACCCGCACTGGAATCATCTTCTTGGACAAATGTGAAAATTGTTGACGTTGAAATCATACAGCCAAGCAAGACCAAACTTAGAAAGAGTGGCTGTGCCACCTTGATTTGAGCAGCTCTTCTGTGCTGGTACAACCAGCAAGCCGAACTAGCAATGAGCAAAAAGTTGATTGTGGCCATGGCATAGCATGTTGCCCGCAGCCCTGTGGGGATCAAGTTTTTGTCCTCTTGTACTTCTTCGGAGCAGTCATCTCCTGTCCATCGTGTGGATTCGCACACACAATTGCCATCTCTGTCCGCCATTCCATGCGTGGCACTGCAGGGTTGATTGCAGTTGACTCCGGCATGTCCCAACGGACAAGTTTCAACAGAAAAATATTTGTGGTACAGCGTGTCCACAATTCCTTCTTGGTGGGCCTCGTATATCCATCGTATAATGAGTTGTTGATGCAGTGGATCCAGTCGAGCATTCATGGGCCACGAAATGAGTTGCTTATTGAAATTCTCGGGGTTCACTTCCAGTGTGGCATCTTGTGTGGTGGTGTGTCGTAATTCCAATTCATCCTCCAGAAACAGAGCACATTTTTCTTGTTTGAGCCAGTCAATGCATTCCTCATAGCTTGCGCATTTGAGGTATTGTAGATAGGGGAATTGGTCCATGGGTACGCCGTCTTTTTCGTACCTCGCCCCTTGAATGACACAGACGGGTTGTTGAAGGGTTTGGGCTTCTGACAAGGTCGATATCGCCCGTTGCGTACGGTGAATATAATGAACCGTGGAGGCGGTACTTTTCAGTATCGGTGGAGTGAATTGTGCCCGCATGGATCGCTGGGGTGTCGTGTAGAAATCGGCAATTACCATGTCCAATCGGTTGCAGTCTTCTTGGGATGGGATACGTATTGCATCCTCGTCCTCTACCAGGTTTTGACTTTTTCGTGTCGCAACCCCGCAATCGTTTGCCAGGTAAGCGAATTGTTGGTTGTAGGACCCCGCGGGGGCTTGTTCCAGCTCGAATGTGAGGGTAACACTGTCCAGATTCCCCGCAATTCGGACGAGTTCTCGCATTAAATCGGGTTGGAATCCTCGATAGTGCGGAAACAAGGCATCTTCCTCTTGTGATGATGATGTGTAGTTCGCGTCGTAGTAGGCGGCTGGCACGGTATCTGTCACCACAGACGCCCGAATCGTCATGGATTCTGGGAAGGTGGCATCCGGCGGAATGCCAAACCCTGTTGCCGCTCCCACCAGAGGCGTCAGGAGAAACAGAGCACGTTGGAGATGCCGAAATCGAGAGTTGGAGGGAGACAACGGTAGCATCGTTTATTACTTCCTGATATGATATTAGCAGGCCTTTTATTGCCACTACAGCCGATGGTTACTTCAAAAATTAATAGTCTACTTGACTTTGACGACTTTGGAGCCTTTGATGGATGGATGCATGCATCCCCGCGCAGATTGTTTTAGAAGAGCTGCAGAAGCAACGAAGCAACCAAAGTGTCGCGTTTGTGTGCCGTCAACGACACGTGGCTAGTCAGACAAAAAGACTGCATTGAACATGGAACAGGAATCGAATTAACATAGGTTGATGTTTCTAAAAGAAATATATTCTGATCACTTTCCTTTGTCACACCAGTGAGACTTGGCTTTTAAATGACTGATGTTGCTATTAAATCCAGAAGATCTCCCCTTTTGGCAATTTGAAACTGAGTCTGGCGGAGAGACATCGTGGAAGGTGGAAGGGTGATGATTGTGATGATGGGTGAAGGCATGTTGGAGAGCTTGGCCAAGCTCTCGAGAGCTATTACTTTGTACCACCACAAGCCACCTACAGCTGCGACCTGCAGCTGCGACCTGCGGCATGTCCCACTTCCGCAATAGACTACTGTAGGAGGAAGCAATCATGCCAACATGCCAACACCAAGCACACATCCAGCCATTATCCCCAGCCAACACTGGTGCTCTTTATGCTACTATAATGGCTAGCTAGCTAGCCGCCGATGAAACTAGCTATTTTATAGGCGCACTTCTGTCATGAACGTATGATAAGGTCGGAAGCGACCTTCTACTTCCATTGTAAAGTTATTCGATTAGAAATGACGCTGCTAGCAAGCACTATCTAGCAACCTGGACAGCACCATTTTCTTCAGTCAGGAAGAAGTTTTGTTCATTGTCGTACCGGCGTTTGAGGGTTTCACACAAACGTGATATCAGCCGCCGATTTGCTGTGGGCACATCTGGAATCAAATAAAAGGAGTCCAGCCTGCCTTCAAATCTGTACCCAGTTCGGAAGGTGTCTTTGAAATCACTAGGAAGGATTCGGCGTAGTATGGAAGCCAACACATTGAAGACAGTTCCAGTATGAAATCCTCTGAATTCACCAATAAATGGGTACACTGTCAAAAGCTGAGAGATCATAGCTTGAATTAGCTTGAAGTCTTGCTTCTTGGTCCAGTCCATGCCTTCACACTCAGCCATGGAAATACAGCCCCTTCGAATGCACGCCATATCTGCAGAGAAACTTGTGTGCAAGTAATATGATGCTGCCATCCAAGTTTCCACCTTGCTGACTGTGTTGAGAAGGTTCGTATCTATCTTGCTCACATCATGAACTAGGATGTAGGTACCTTCACTGGGACTGAAGCTGAATGATAGCCAATGGAGAGGAAGGATTTCGATAAACTTCTTCATGCACATGTGTCCTTGTTCCAAGGTATCTAGGATTTTGTACTCTCTCCGAAAATCTTGTAAACCATGTGCTCGGTTCATTGCATCCTCCAAATCACCTTTTGTAATTATCGCCATCTGGGCGTACATGAAATCGTTGTATTTGGTGTCGAGCTCTGGGGAATTTTCTATCATTTCCTTGATTTCCAAGGCCCACACTCGCTCCTCTTGTGTCAATTTCATGCGACGAGGATCATCTATATTTTCAATAACTCGAGGGATTGTGTCTTCTTCATCCTCCTCGCTATTGTCACTTTCGTCATCCTCCTCTACAAGGACATTTTGGTTGGCCCCGTCTACTGGAGCGTTATTATCTCCAATGGCAGGGACTGCCGTAACATCGTCTCCGTCTTCATGTCTGGCTTCAAGGTTCATCCTTTGGTGCTCGCGTTCAAGAGGGCTGATTGATCGTTTCGCTCTTCAATGTCCGTCACGCTACGAGGGGAAGCCCGAGCAGTGACCAAGGAAGGTCGAAAGGCATAGCCAGTGTAGCGAAGCCGCTTCGAGAATTCCATGCAAGTTGAACACCATCATGCATGCAGGAGTGGGGTGACTTGCCACCACATTGTCATGCACGCGAGCGCGATGTGGAACTTAAAAGGTAGTTAAGGTAAATTTACTTCATACGTGTGAATTCAAGACTTTAACCCTAAACCTACCCCAGCTACCCGTACAAAATTCGTACTGTATGTTTTGTACCACCGCTACCGGTACGTGTAGGGCTGATGCGCCGGAAAGATGGTGGGTCCACCAGGCTCTCGATTGTGTCGCCAGAGTTGGAAGTATTGACCAAACTTCTAATGCTCAATCAAACAAATGCAAGGCTAAAGTATACAACTAGTAATGCAAGGGTTGTAGGCTGGATACAAAATTGTGAATCGCTTGACATCGTGAGTCATGCTGCGCAAATTTCCCTACCGGTACGGTTGAGGGGGCTCATCCGCTGGAGTGACTTCGTAATCGCCCCCTGCAGATTGTTCGTCAGTTGCACAGAGTTCCGAAGAAAGTGGCTTCTCGCTGGTCGTGAGTGTTGTACTGATAGTGTTCTTGTCATGAACGGAGTATACCCTTTGTGGCTCTTCTCCTCGCTCGTTCACGGTCGGAGCCCCGTCCTCGGGGTATTTACTACTAGACTCACTGTCAGACATTGGATGCATTCTCGCTACTTGATCCCGCGATTCTCTGTTGCCAGAGGAAAACGGGGTATGTTGGAAACCTGACTCCCGGTCTGCCACTTTGCTCTCGAACATGAGAGATCCAGCATCAAACATCGATGGCCTCAACGCCTGCGGCGATTTGTCATTGCCTGCGTTGGATAAATGTGAGGAACCACGTCCACCACGACTGGCGACGGACAATCGTTTGTTTCTTCGTTCGGTGTACGTATGCATTGCGTTTCGAATCATAACCTTGCTGTTGTCATTGGTCCCGTCACCCATCTCCACAGAAAACATGAGGTTTCCAAACACCAAAGCCAGGACTGCAAAGTCGTTCCTTGGGAGCAAGACAGCAAAACGAGTTTTGTCAGCATTGGACACGAGGAGTTAGTCAAGCGGTTATCAATACGAAGCACTTACATCCAGATAATCACCGAACGAACAAAGAAGCTGCTTTGGGGGTCTGACCCAAGGATGATCAGCACCGGCACAGCCACCACAAAGATCTGCAGGTTAGAAATCATGGCGATTGAGACGTATTTGCTTTCTGAAAAGCGTGTGGGAATCTCCCTGGAAACATAACAGAGGTAGCATGCCACTCCCATCAATGTGAAATGGAACGCCGCAATCACGCTGGCAAATATGGCAAAGTACTCCGAGGCACAAAACCCCTGACTGCTCAATGTGTATCCATATTGGTCCACAGTCAATGCTTCTCGATGCCACTCCAGCGGATCGAGTATTGTCCAAACAGTGAGGATTGTCACATCAATCAGTAGCACTCCACCCACAATGAAGAATGTCTCCTTTGCAGTGACAGAAACCCGAGTCATGGTGGCAGCTGCCCGGAAGAGAAGGTACACTCTCCTAATCTTTGAGAACAGACTTGCAAAGGTGATTGAAAATCCAACCGAATAGAGCCAAGGAATAGCCATGCAAGCAGGTTCGCTAGCACTTTCGCTCCCGTCATGTTCTTGAGCCAGTGCAAAGATGGTGGAAGTGCTGATCACGCAGCCGAGCAACACCAAACCAAGGAAGATTGGCTGAGATACTCTGACTTGAGGAGTGTTGCGGTTCCATATCAGCCAGACTCCACAGATTGCCACAGCAAGAAAGTTGATGCCGACCATGACATAGCAAACAATGACCAATGAGTTTGGAATCAAGTTCTTGTCCTCTAGCGTTTCAACAGAGCAATCAGCACCTGTCCATCTCGTTGATTGGCACACGCAATTGCCAAATCTGTCCGCTGTGCCATGACTGGCATCGCAAGGCTGGTCGCAATTTTCTCCCGCTGTGCCCAAGGGACAAAAGTTGATGGAAAAGTATTCATCATACAGTGTGTCTAGAAATCCAGATACCTTGGCCTCGTACATCCAACGGATCATGAGTTGTTGATAGAGTGGATTGAGTCTGGCATTCATGGGCCATACAATGTATTGTTCGTTCCACTTTTCCTGTGTCACTTCCAGGGCAGCATCCTGAGTCATGATATGTCGGAGCTGCAATTCATCTTCTACAAAGAGTGCACATCGTTCTTCCTTGACCCAGTTTACGCAATCATCGTGGTTGAAACATCGGAAGATCTTGAGACCGGGAAATCGGAGTAGCGCCTCCTTGTCATAGTGAGAACCGTCCAATAGACAGACGGGCTCTTGTAGTGTCTCGGCTTCTTGCAAGGTAGTAATGGCTCTCTTGGTACGATGCACGTACTGAATGGTGGCCGCCGCCGTGGTGAGGAGGGGAGGAGTAAAGGTTGCCCTCATGGAACGTTGTGGGTAGCCATAGTAATCGGCAATCACGAGATCCCATTGATTGCATTCTTCTGCAGAATATGTCTTAAAGTCTGTAAACTGATTGCTGGTACTATTGCAGTCAATGGCCAGGTATTCGAATCGATTGTCGTAGGCAAAGGGAGGTGACTCCTCCAATTCAAACGAGAGCGTGACGTTGTCAATATCTTTGGCAATCTGGACAATCTGCCGAAGAAGATCTGGCTGAAAGCCGCGAAACTCTGGAAAGAGTTCGTCGTCGTTGGTGGTTGTGTAGTTTGCCTCGTAGTAGGAGAGTGGGACCGTGTTGGTGATGACGGAAGCTCGAAGTGCAATGCTGGAGGGAATTTCGACGCCAAAGGCAGATACCACTTGCACATTGTGGTTGCCCGCAAGGAGGAGGGAGACGACTTGAAGAGGGAAGAGGATTGGATAAAGGGAAGAGCCAGGCATAGCTGCAGTTGATTCGATTTTATACGGATTAAACTGTGGTCTCACTGCACCCTGGAATTTGGAGATGATGTGGGGTGGTCCTTCGGATGAAGCAGAGGAGGATTGTTTTAACTATGTTGATCGAATCTTGTCGAGGCTGACGGTATTGGCTACCGGCAAGAATACAGTCGTAGCTCAAGAGTACTAATACTAGTAGGTGGTCTACCACAGACAAAGAAGGTGGGCCACAAAGTAAGAGGATGCTCCCTGGGACCTGGGAACTTTAAACTTGTGTTGTGAGAATCACTTCGAGACTGCTTTGTAAAAGCTTTGTAAACCGTTGCCTCACGGCCTCACGGCTACACGGCTCAGATCTTCTTGCTTCAGATTCGATTCGATTCGATAGGATTCGACCTGCATCCAATCGATTCTATGTCTAAATCTTTCACTTCTTCCTTCTTTCTCAGGGAATTAAAACCGAGAATTTAATTAGATTGACGTGGCCCCAGCACGGTTTCCAGCGGCTTATTGCTATACATCCAGTTTGATCCAGTTGCCCACTCCAGTATTGCTGTTCTTGGGGGAACCATGATTTAACAAGCTGAGTCACTTTCTTAGGAAAGGTGGCAATGGGCAAGAACTAGACTAATACTAGTAGTCTTACGAGACTACTTAGGAGAGTTACCCGTGAAGCTCCAAATCGGAGAAATAAATCAGATCTGTGACGGCGTCACGGCAATACCGGTACTGACGTCAGCGCTGCAAGGCTGCGAGCTGCGAGGCCACCTCACCACACTCCAAGCCAGGATGCTTTCTCACCAAGACATCCTCGTGCAGCATTGACAGCTGCATGTCGCAAGTCAATAACCGCAGACCAAGCAATACGGTACAGGCAATGCCTCTTTCTCTATGTCAAAATGATTGGCAACCACGATGATGAAGCTCCACCAGCAGACTCTGCGGTGGTCCCCAAGATGGGCCCTGAGCCTACCTTGCTGTGTCGAAAAGAAGTGGATGCGCTGTACGAAACGCTACAAGCCATCGTGACAGCACTGGATCAGCTCCAAGTAGACTACATTGTCACGGGTGGATCCTTGTTGGGTGCCATTCGACAGCATTCCATTTTATTTTGTGATGACGACATTGACGTGACCATTATTGACTATCCTCCGGGTCATCCGCGCGATCCTTATACCCAAAATCGCAAGGAACAACAACCGCATGTTTCAGCCTACGAGAGAGTGTCTCAAAATCTACAAGAACTACTGGGACCTCGCTTTACCTACTCGATTCGTCCTTGGGAAGCCGGAGACAAGGTCCGACCCAGATTTATGAGTTCCATTTTTGTCGACATTTTCACACTGCGACGATTCGACACACTCCAAGATTTACGAGATTTGATGGGTGTCAAGACCAATGGACAACCACAGCCACAAGACTATGTCGACAAGATTTGTGATACGATAACATCCTGTGCCATACTATCATCACCGCAGTCTCAACAACCACAAACAATAATAACGACACCACTCTGTCCCTTTTGGCAATTCAATACGCGCAAGGCTGTCGAATTGTGGCCCAAGGAAGTCTACCGAGAACACGAATTGTTCCCACTGGACCGGAACTTGAAATTTGGACCCTTTGATAACATTTGCGGACCCAAAATGCCCGTACTCTTGTTACAGCGCGCATTCGGCCACGATTGTTTCGAAGTATACTACGCCAGTGTCAGTCACAAGGACGTTGTGCAGCAACAAGTTAATGGTAATGACAGCAAAAACAAAAACGACAACGACAACAAGCAAACCAATGGCACGGAGAATGGCAAACTTCCACCTCGAACATTGGCGGGTGGAATTTGGGAATCCAGTCCCAAGTGTGCCCTACAAGACCAACACTTGGTACCAATGCAACCCACCAGCCGTGCGTTACGACGACCCGACAATCACAATAGACATCACCTGGAAGTGTATTTGCAAGAACAAACGGAACGAGAAGAATTGTGGCAACGAGAGGAAGCACTGCGGTTGGGATTAAATCCACCACGACCACGTCGAACAATCTACATGGATGGGGTATTTGACATGTTTCATATTGGACATTTGCAGGCCATTCAACAATGCGCCGCATGGGGGGATCGAGTCATTCTGGGACTGGTCAGCGATGAGGATGCCAAGGGGTACAAGCGTCCTCCCATTATTCCACAAGAGGAACGGTTGGCCATTGTATCGGCTATTCGGTATGTCGACCAAGTCATTTGTCCCAATCCATTCATTGTAACACAAGAGTTCATGGACGAACACCAGATTGATCTGGTGGTGCACGGCTTTGCGGATCCAGCCGATGAAGAACGGCAGCGGGAGTTCTTTGAAGTACCCCGCAGACTGGGAAAGTTTCGGACCATTCGATACCACCAAGGCTTGAGCACCACGGATATCATTGCTCGGATGCAGAGCTTGCCACCGGCCCACACACTGGAGCCGTAGTTGTACATACTAGCTAGTCAACAGACTATAGCAACCAACCTTTGTCATGGCTCTAGCTACGGTAGGAGACAGGATCTTGGAGCTATCCCAGGTGGTGGATTCACGGGCTGTGTTCAAATTTGTTCAGTTGGATTCTCTAATACTCTGACTAGATATTCAAAGGGACAAGAGGCGGCTTCTGTACCACCGAGGCTTGAGCACCACAGATACCAATGCTCGGTTACAGAGCTTGCCACCGGCCCACACGCTGGAACCCTAGTCCGACGCACTAATCAACAGACCGGAGAAACCAACCCTTTGTCATTGCACTAGCTAGGAGACAGGATCTTAGAGCTACCCCAGGAGTTGGAGTCATTGGTTCAAACTTTTCAGGTTTTTTTAGTTGGGTAGCTGGAGATTGCACTCTGGCAAGATATTCGGAAGGACAGGAGGCAGTTTCTATACCACCACAGAAAACATTGCTCAGATGAAGAGCTTGCCAGCAGCCCACACGCTGGAACCATAGTCGTATCTTAGCGACCAGCCTTTGTCATTGCTCTAGCTAGGAGGATGGATCTTATAGCTATCCCAAGCACTGGAGGCATGGTTCTGTGGATAAAACGATATCCAATCTAGTCATGGGCTTTGGTTCAAATTTGTTCAGTTGGGTTGTTAGAGAATTAGAGATATTACTTTGGACAAGATATTCAAAAGGACAGGAGGCAGTTTCTATGTCTAAAGACAGGTAGCTGTGTATGGAGGTCGGGAGGTATTTTCTGGGATTCATGCCAATTGGTCGTGAGCACCGCCCCCATTTGCGATGCATCAACCATGAGGCTTGATCCGTTTGGGTAGTTGTGTTGCCAGTCAGCTTAGAATTGGAGACCGAGCTCTTGCAATCTTTGCTTTCGCTCTTGCCAGCATTGGTCTTGTCGGCGGTGGGGCTTTCGCAGCTCAATTTTGCAGTAGACCAACCACTCATTGATCTTGGGGTTGGACGTCATCATCCAGAATTCGGCCACCTCCTGGTCGATTGAGCCCTCCTCTTCAACATGCTTTTGAAGAAGGGCGTAGTTATCGTCCCATGTAGAGTCTGTTTTTGGGAGCTGAACGGTTTCGAAAATCATCATTGTATTGTAGTTCGTTGGTGTTGCTTGGGTGCGTTGCGTTGTGAGAATTGCAATTTGTGAGCAAGTAATTTCATGCTCTCAAGGCTTGCACCCAGCATCCAGTCCAGTCCACGACCTGCAGCAGGCAATCTTGGACAAGACTTAGAAAGTGGCATACTGAAACACCGTTAGAATCAAATCATGAGATGCCTGCGGGTCACATTGGTACTAAAAAAGTCATCAATTCGCCAAACCTTGTCGCTCACTTGCCAACCCAGCAACCCAGGAAGCCCAAGACAGTTCTCGGTTGCTGCGTCCGTTTGCGAAGCTGGTGCACTTTGCTTAGTCAACCGGCGTAGACTGGGATGCCCCTGGGCTCACACATCAGAAAGCTGCTAGCTGACATTTGGATGGCGGGGGGCATCTGCATGTCCCACTCCCGGTACGAGCAGCTAGCTAGCCAGTAGCTTTGATGATCCACCCAGTGTCGCTGCCTGCCAGAACCGAGGTAAGCCAGAACCGCAACGCCCCTCAAACCAAGCAAAGAAGCGGTGACACTGCCACCAAGTCAAATGTCCCGCTTGGTTGTCAATTGTTCTGGTATCGGTCTACCCTTGTTTCTTGAATGCTCTAGCTAGCTAGCCATGGCTACTGACTACCAGCATTCGCACCTAGAAAAGTATGCCCAACAGGCAGGCAGAACATGCCATTACCTCTAGCTACTAGCTATGACTGGGGTTTGCTTCATATCGGGAGTGCCGTAGTACTTCAGACTTCAGCCGCAACGTTCCTCTGGCTGGCTCAGCAACTGCCAGTAGCCACTGGAAACCGACCCCTGGGCGCCCAACGCCCACCCTTTTGGAGCTCCCTTTAGAAGTAAATGCCTAAAGTAATTTTGGGCATTGGAAAGGACGGTGAATACAGGAAGCTTCGCTTTTACTGATTCAAACGCGCGCCGAGCTTTTCTGTGCACTTCTACAGGACCTCTCGTAGAAGTGTACCAAAAAGAGCGGCACGCGTTTGAATCAATAAAATCGAAGCTGCTCGTACTACTATTGGGATTGCAATCGCAGAGAGTGGATTCGAGCTGGGATGGTGGCTTCCGTAGACGACAGAGATATGCATAGCCGACATTTGGAACATAAAAAGGGCTCGAAGCTTGAAGCACCAGAGCATTGGAAATCTGAGTTCTACACAAGCTACCCTTACAAAGGTGACAAGAATCCATCCTCTTTTGGTTGTGGAAGGCGGGGGTTCTTTGAAAGTCTGCAACAATATGTTGCTTTAGGCCTGACTTTGCCGCAACAGAATCAGAATTTCCATACAAATCTAGCTAGCAACGCAGACCCGACAGATGGCAGACCTATTCAATATTACTTTCGCGGAAACTCAAAACATCAAAAAGATGAACAAGAAGCTCACTCCAGTGGAGAACCAGAGCAGAGCAATCCATTACATGCTTGAATGTGCTTGTGGTTTGTTGCTTGCACCCAGTTCCAACATCTCCAGCAACCCGGGCTGGGAGCAAGCTTTGAAACAATACAACTAGGTATTAGTAGGAATAACTATTAGTAGTAGCAAGCTACTTGTAGCTGCAGCGTGACTAGCAGCTAGCTATTTCAGTAACAGCATCTGAATGCATGTGTACATGAGCACGTCACGGAGAGTCTTAATAGTAAGGTATTTGGATTTCGATTTTATTCAATGTTACTTTAGTTTCGACAATTTACATATTATACAGGGTGGTTTGCTGTTGCGGCCCGCGCAAAGTTGTGCTGGTACCGGTAGGTCAACCTGTTTGGCCATTGCTAGCTTTCTCATTGTCGTGGTTCATGCATACCCACCTTTTTCTCTTTGTCCAAAATAAATTCGACAATGGCGACGCCAACAACAAAACAGCAAACAACAAAACACCACCACCTGCAGGAAACGTCTGATTGGAAATTAGGTGTTGTCGCTAGAAAGAATTGAGTTAGTTTGATATTTTGTCGAGTCGAGTCATTGATCGCAACCATGGATTTGGCACGATGGGCCCTGAGTGGAATAGGCGGGGCTGATGGCGAGGAACAACAGCAAGAGCAGCAAGATCAGCAGGAGAACCAGCAAGCGAGCGCAACACCGGAGTCCGGCGATGCACAAGTGGAGAAGCTAGTGGAGGAGTACAAAAAACAAGAAGAGGCGAATTGGGCACTTGCAAACAAGGGTAACGCTAATGAGTTGAAAGTAGATATCCTAAAAGTTCACGGGCTCATTCGCGAGATTAACCCTAATCCACGCTCACTGTCGACAAGCCAGGTTGCCACGAACAACAGCACAGACATCCAACCTCCTAGCAAGAGAGCGAAGAAAGGACCACACCAAGAGTGGTCCATTGAAGTCCTTCCGGAACTGAAGGAGGAGGTTGAGGCCATGGAAGAAGCGTGGAACAACATTTTGGAGGGGGGCGTTTCCGGTCGTGAAGCAGACAGAAGACCGTCACCGCGAAGTGCTCCACAGAATTATTATCAACCAGTTCTGGTTGATTCCCAACCAGATTCTCAAGGGTCTAACGCGTCTGCCGCTTGCGATTTGTTCAATGCTGAGACGACCGCAAAAGAGGCCTTGGACATTCTCAGAGACAACCGCAATAATGGTATCGACAAATTCGAGGAGAACTACACACAATGGGTGGTGAACCGTATTCTCGGTGCAGCTCTTCCTGCCATTGCCAAGAAGAACAAGAAGTGGCTATCTAAGTTCCCGATCCTTCAGGATAAGATGGACATTGGACTCTACGCAGAAACAACAGACAAAAGGAGCCAACTGAACCGGTATCCAGACAGCGTCATTTTCCTCGAAGGGAAAGGAGGGGACAACAAGTTCAACCGCGAGGTCGCTGGCGTCAGCAACCTCGTGTCTTTCGAGCACAAGAGCGATATTTCTGATGCAACGAAGCGTGAGGATGCGATATTGGAATTGAAGAGGGATTTTATCAAGAAGCTGAATTCGGTTGATATCCTCTCGCCGGCAGTGGGGTACGGTACGGAGTCATCACAGACGGGATTGTGTGGCAATTTTTGCGGCTTCGAGTTACCAACTCGGAATCAGAGTGTGATATTTTCATCGAACAGTCCCATGATGTGGACGTTGTGAACATTGACAACTCGTATGATTTCAGTGAACTAGCCAAATGGCTTGCATTTATGTGCAGGATGAGTCTTTTGGAGGCCCACGCTGGGATGATTGATGATGGTGTTGCAAAGTCGCTACACATTCTCACAGACACCACCACTGAATTCTTGGTATCAGAAATCCTTGCAGAGGACAGATACTTCGTGGCCAAGGCCACCGCCAATAGGGGCGAGAAAGTTGTCTTGAAGATGCCGTGGAGCCGGAAACCCCGCTACAAACGCATATGCGACGAGCGCTTCAACCTGATGCAAATGCAGACCTGCGATGCAGTTGTAAACTTGGTAAGCGGATACGGCCACCTTCCGTTCTTGGTACTGGAAGACGTTGGTATCCCTTTGGACAAACTCGTTGTCAGTGGAAAGGTGGGGAAAGAGCTTGCTAAGGTGGTAAAACGAGATATCCTGGAGACAGCTTTGCCCGCTCTCCAAGCCAAAAGCATGGTGCACGCCGACTTGCACCCTGGCAATATCTGCGTTCAAGAAAACAATGGGGTGTTGTTCGCCAAAGTTGTGGACCTGGAATCTGCTGTTCATGTGGGAGAAAAATTGGAATTGAGCCCCATCAAACATCGCCCCGACCTTGTTCCGAACGACGACGAAATAGCATCCCTCAAAATGGACCAAGTGATGGTAGCGGCGATTCTTCACTGCCTTTGGGAGGTCGGCTCCTTTCAGGACTTGGTGGAAAAAGCCATGGGGCTCAATAATGAAAAAAGTGAGAACAAGTACCAAGCCGAATATAAGAAGATCGCGGAGAAGGTCAAAGGGGCCGCGACGAAAGACGGACAAATGACCTGATGCAAAACTGTAGAAACCTGGGAGCGATCATGAAGAGATTATTACCAGCTACCACAATTCTTCCTTAACCAACCAATAATCGAATTGCGAACCATAATGCATGTGTAGCGTAGATCTTGTTCATGTTCTTTCGTGTGAGATGTATTCGGTTCCTGGCATTTTCCAACCATTCGGTGGATCCCCACGGCTGACATACTGGCAGGTCAAAAATGAAGGAAAGAGAGGACCTGGAAACCTCCTGCAACTCTATCTCTGGATTACTTGACTGCAGGAAGGGAGGTTTCGAATCCAAGTATTAGAAGACGCGGTATTAGCTCTCAACAATGTTTTGATAATTTTACCGGAACCACCTGTTTCAGATTGTTTTCTTCTCTATGGTACCATCATAAGCCAGGCATTACGGTACCGGTAGTATCCCCGAACCCTACAGTCGTACCGGTACAGTCGTACACAGTTTCGGGTTGTGTGTGGCAACTTTGCTGCAAATTGCAAATAAACCCACGTCTCGAGGACAAACCCCCACCAAGCCTTGCCAAACCTCACCTCCTGCTCTGGTCAAGTACGGTACCGATGTGGGTTTTGGTCTGGCTGGGAGGCGTGAGGAACAATGTGGCGTCGCGATGCGCTGACTGATGTTGCGACCAGCGACGTTTCAGAAAGATACAGAAGCTGACTTCCTCTGTTCGTCTGCTTCGTAGTTTGGCAACACGCGTCTTCATTATTAGCGATCAAAAACAAGATGAAGTGCCACAGCTTCTACATTACCTTACCGGTATGGGCGCTTGTTGCTCTGCATGAGTCTAATGGCTTTTCTCCAGCAATAGCTCTTTCTCGACATTCTCATGGAAAAACGTCATCTCTATTCATGGCCAATGCTGAAAGCGGCTCGGAGGTGACTGTCATGGTCAATGGAATGCCAGGACCCATGGCCATTGCTGCAGCAGAAGCCTGCCTTCGCAAGGGGCTCAAATTGTCACCAGTCGCCATGACACGGCCAGAAATAGATCCCTGCATTCTCACCATCAGTGATGCTGTTAGTGGCAAATCTTCCAATGTCCAATTGATCCCTTCCACAGAAACTGACGAGCTTGAGGCTGCCATTGCTGGCGCCAGAGAAGGCGCTGGAGGGGAAAAGAACTTGCTGGCCATTGATTACACTCATCCATCCGCAGTGAATGCAAATGCCCTTTTTTACATTGGCAATCAAACTCCATTTGTTATGGGAACCACTGGAGGGGATCGCGAAAAGTTGATGGCAGATGTGACAGCTGCAAAACATTTTGCAGTAATTGCTCCCAATATGGGCAAGCAAATTGTTGCCATGCAGGCAGCATTGGAAGATTTGGCATCTACATACCCTTCAGCCTTTGCAGGATACTCCCTCCAAGTAACGGAATCCCATCAGAAAACTAAGGTGGATACCTCTGGGACTGCCAAAGCAGTGATTGACTCTCTCAAAACACTCAGTGATGATGGGTTTTCCTACGATGATATCAACATGATCAGGGGAGACCAAGAAGCAGTGGAGTTTGGTGTACCTGAAGAGGGGTTACACGGTCATGCCTTTCACACTTACACCCTCACTAGTTCAGATGGTTCGGTGCAATTTCAACTGCAACACAATGTTGTTGGGAGAACATCTTATGCAGAAGGCACAGCTGATGCTGTGAAGTTCTTGTCCAAGAAACTGCAAACTGAACAGGAAGGAAGAGTATACTCAATGATCAATGTGTTGGAAGCAGGCGCACTGGATGGATTTCTTGACTAGGCTTGATACCCTTTCATCTATCCGGATAGTCCACTAGCTGCATATTTGATGCACTCAACTAGCTAGCTGTGACTCTTGAGCCGAGAGATCTAATGTCCGTCAATGAGATCTCTTTAAATTTCTTTCTCTCGCAATGTAGATTACATACCGGTACACGTGTACCTGCCGACTGAGTCACTCACAATTGCTCTTGACATTGACTGTTGCTCACTGTAGACACAATTTGTTCGGGTGCGACAGTAGACAGTGGCTGCCAATCCTCCCCTTGCTGTGATCAACAGTTGTCGAAGGATGGCCATGGAGCCGCCCACGATCCCTCCCTGGAGAATCAGTGCAGTGTTCGCATGTGTCATCCGTAAAACTGGCTTATCACTTTGCATGCAACCGACCTCGTTCGCTGGGATACGGTTTTGTCGAGTCAAGTGACAGTCAGGGTTACTCGGCATTTTGTCTATTTAAGCTATTGTGTCTGATTACAGAGTTGCTTAAATGTTCTATGCTCCTTAGAAAAAGTGGCTTATGTCTCACAATGTCTCACTTTGTATACCAATGTCTCACAATGTCTCACTTTGTCTACCAATGTATCACTTTGTCTACTAATGTCTACCAATGTATCACTTTGTCTACTAATGTCTATAAGGTACTGTAAAACAGTACAAAAATGTCTCACAATGTCTCACTTTGTCTACCAATGTCTCACAATGTCTCACTTTGTCTACCAATGTATCACTTTGTATACTAATGTCTACTAATGTATCACTTTGTCTCCTAATGTCTCCTAATGTCTTAAATCTTTTCAACGGTCTGTAGACATTTCCATAATCGCCAAAACACAAACAGACAGAATGACAGAATGCCGAGTAACCCAGTCCGCGAGTCCACATCTCCCGAGAAGCGTAATCGCCTCCAGTATGGTACGGTGTACCGATGCAACTCCAGTAACACACAACCCTGAACCAAAATAACATGAATTGATCACTTCGGGCGCCTTGTACATGTAATTCGAAAGAAGCGAAATGATAGGAAGCAACCACAAATCCAGAGGATAAGGAGATACTAGAAGGCACGTGCTGACTTGAAAGTAGTTCCCAAAATGTTGCGTTCAGTATTCTTGATTGTTCTACTGATGGTACCCATGAAGAACGCCCAAAGCTTCACCGCAGCCTCACACAAGAAGATTCCGAAAAGCACTATTCATCGCGCTGAGTCTTTAGCTCTCACGTCAGCATACGAGATTTGGTATCCCCCGCTCGATTTGGCAGGTTGCGACACCAATGCGCAAAGGCTACGAACGGCGAGGAAGCCAGGGATCGTCGATTCCATGGCCTCGATGGCAGCAGCCTTCGTTCCGGACATCACGAAGCTTGCACCAACGAGTAAACAAGTGCAGGCACAAGGAAAGTTGTTGCATCTTCCCGATAGCCTCCTGCGGGAGCATATTCTTCGAGATTGCAAGGAAAGAACTCTCTCGTAACAGCCGACTTTACTCATGCCATCTACGATGACACTTGCCGTTTCAAGGATGGCTCGGGGCTGGATGGATCGTACCCGATGAAACCATGGATTCTAGGCTGCAAGCTTCTTTTCAATGAACAAAACTCCAGAACAATCATAAACGAAGACTCTCTTGCTGTCACATCGACTGGGGTAACTTTTCGATTTGAAAGCGACCTGGAATTTCGCGGCCCACTATCGCCACGAGTTTTCTTGAGTGGCAGCATCAGTATGCTACGAGATCCTCGGACGGGCCTCATCGCTTCCTACGAAGAGATATGGGACAAGAGCGTGTTTGACATTGTCAAAGAAGCTAAACTACAACCGTAGCAACCATGCCGGAGAAGACGACACCCACAACTGGCCTTGACCCGCCCTGTGATTTTAAGCAGGCGTAAGACATGTAGCTTGTGTACACTACTTAATCTTTCATCAAACAGCACCGATCCAAGATGGAACTGAGAGCCGGTTAGCGAGGACCAAGAATGTGCCAAATTGCTTATGAATGGAAAATTTCGCCCATTTTGCCTTACTGGCTGGTAGCGGATGCAAGTGTTGCTGATGACAGTGTGGAGCTGAGAATACTAGACTTAGCTTAAGCGCTGCTGGATCCCACAGCGCTCCATAAGGGAGTGTATGCAACGCTACTTGGATGCAGTGGCATGTACAGTACTACTGGCACTCAAGTCTTTGCGGCATCCAAGGCCAGTTCACGAGAACGCACTGGGGACGACGTAAGTGTGAACCAGCAATCTCACAAAACGAAGCTTGAGCAGCAGGCCAAACAACTAGCTAGCCCTGAAAGCTTGAAGCAGCTTCATCTATGTGCTGTTTAAGTCTATGCGCTCTAAGGAACACGCTAATCCAGCTAGCTAGTTCTGTCAGCTCTGGATGGAGCATGGCAAAGAAACATGCGTCGCCAACTGGCCCGTATCTCACGGTGCCCAGGCAGATTCCTACCGGTGTCTCGAGCACAAAGCTTCTCGGTTGCCCCGGCAAGATTCCTTCCCGTAGCCCACTGCCATCCTTTTTTGGGGCGCATCCGCAGCCCCAACACTTGAATTGCAATGTTGCTTTAGTGCTGCACTCAAATGGAAGCTAGCCAGTGTAGAATTGTGAATTGTGTGGTAATCAGAAACAGTGACATGAGCAGCCTCATCAGAGACCACTAAGCTTTCCTGCACGAGCAGGTGGTGAACGACCAACTACATGCATGGCAATCACGGTGCAATCATCAGGCATTCCTTTTTTTCAGGGCGAAACAGACGCAAACAAGAAATGAGTGTACTCAGACAAAAAGCCGCACATGGGTTCACAACTTGCAGCGCAGGTGGAACCGAACTGCCAAGCAAGCAACAGCCTTACCTCCACTCCACATGATATCATTATCCTTTGCGAGCAACGCAAACGGCGAATCGGTAGTAGGATCCAGACTGTTATCACGAGCCTTCTTCGCCAGCATCTCGGCAAGATTCGGGACCTTTTCGTACGAACAATCAGTGAGCGAATTCCCCAGCGTCCATCGGTTCTCTCGTCCATCAATATCGCCTCCTCGCAAGAAGCCATTTTGTCGCTCCCACTCCAATGTAACGGCGGCAATTTCATCAATATCAACATTGTCGAATAGCCCGTCTGTTGCCATGATGATGACGTCTCCTCGTCTCAGATGCACACTTGTCGTGCAGGCAGATTTGGCGGACGAGAAGGACGTTTTTTCTTCTTTCTCCAGTTCCTCTCCGGTCCATCCCAGTTGGAATGGATGATTGAACGAATGCAATTGTTGTTGCGAGACAAAGACAGCCTGTAGATCAGACTTTCGCTCTGCTCTTGGTGTTTTGCGGTTTCGTTTCAAGGCTCCCGCCACGTTGGAATCAATATGCCGGAGAATGATGATCCCCGAGTCACCCAAGTTGCTAAAGTGCAACTGATGGCGAATACTGTCAAAGAGGGCCACACAGGCTGTGGACGATCCAGTGATATTCTGTTCCACCACTCGATCATAGGCATTGGCCAATACTTCTCCCGGCCGGATACTTCGACGATTCTTTTCTCCTTTCATTTCCCGTTCGAGTGCACTATCGGATGCTTCCTGCAGCACGTGTTCACATTCCTTCATTAAGGCATGTGAGAATTCGCGAGGATCGACTCCAAACGCCCTCCACGAACCGACCCCATCGGCCACACCGCAATAGGTCACTTCCTGTATTTTGTTGAGTTTTTCATCGGGGAGCCGTACCGTTTTGGTAAAGTAGGCATCTTCGGAAAAGGATGGATCGGAGGAGAATTCGCTGGGTCCAAAATCGCGATGATTCATTCCGACACCATTTTCTGTTTTGAAGGGATGTGGCAACTCTGCGACACCCACGTTGATAAAGAGTGGTGTTTGTTCCAGAGCGAGATGAGCCTGCATAAACGCTGGAGGGTCTGCCATACTAGTGTTGGATCCCATGCCAACTCGTTCCGAGACGTCGTTCAAGTAGCTCTTTTTGCCACCCTTATCTTCGGCTGAAAATCGATACTGAGACATGTCTCGAGCCGTCACCAAACCCTCCACTCTACCTTCTTTGGATAATACGGGAAGACATTTGATTCCCAGCTTGGCCATGATGGTTCGGCACGATCCGACCGTTTCTGAGAAAAAGAGGAATTGTTGTGTTCTGTCATTTTTAGTTTGTGATTTGTGAATTGTCATGGCTTTTTATCTCTTTTGTGTTTGAAATAATCATTGGTTTGGCAACTTACCTTCTGGTCTTGCATAAATGACTTGACTAATAGGTGTCATGACATGATCCCCCACTACTCGATCGAGGAGTTCCTCGCTGGAATCCCCATCTTTGATACCCATGGAAATACAGCGCAATAAATCTCTGGATGTGACGAGACCCACGACATGCTTGCTTTCGTCAGTGACCATGGCGGCGCTGAGTTCTCCTTCCATGGTGATTTCAATCGCTTCTTTGAGAGTTGCCGTGCTGGAAATGGTAGGATTGACCCATCGATTGCTGTGCTTGGCCTTTAAAATGTCAGAAATGGGGACATCGGATAATCTCCATCGTTTGGTCTCCTCTTCCCTCATTTCCTTTTTACTAATCTTGGTCTCTCGGTGACTAGCAGTAGTAGCGTTTTTCTTGGCAGTAACGGATGCTAGTGTCGCTGGAATAACGACACTTCTGTCATCAAGTTGTTCTTCCTCGAAGGAAGACGGAGAGGTAGATAACAGTCGTATCGAATAGGAGTAGGCATTGCTAAGCGTATACCCTCTTGCCGCCGGTATTCGGGCCCGTTTCAGCGCCACTCGCGATGCATGGAATAGAGTCGTCATGGTTGAAATAGAAACTAATGTGATCTGGAGTGCCGAGCTGTTGGCTACTTCAAAGTTCTTCCCTCCATCTCAACTTCAAGTCTTTCCACGTTGCATTCTCGTCTCTGAAAATTTGCTCAAAATAAAACGGCGATGCAAAAACGACGGACGGCTGTCGCTGAATTCGCATGCATAAGCCGGCTCAATATGGTTTTAATAAGGCGTTTCTTTGTCTTCCCAAGGCCAAATGCTGCTCTGCGGGTGAACACCCCAATCACTTTTTAAAAGTTGATCCATTCATTGCTTTGATCCGGACAGCCATACGGTATCAAAAGTTCCTCTTAGACTGAGGGTTCGGAGTAGATTCTTTGGCCCCAAATTACTGAAGTTCTTTAAGCCAACCCCGGTCCATCTCGGCTAGTAGGGGACGTTCCAGTGTTTGCATCTCTGTGCTCACTGGCAACTCCACTTTGCCCTCAAAGCTCTGATTCCAAATACCATCAACCATCAAGTACCGTACTTAACCCCATTCAATCCTTTCTCCCAGGCCCCATTGATCCATGGTTTTGCTTCGACTTATCAACTTCTCATGACTTCTCACATGCCCTACAGTACGAGTGACAGTCAATCGACTCGACTCACTCGAGTCGAGCTTGAAGTTTTGATAAATCTTTGAAGGTTTACAAAGGATTTAATGCCCCATACCGTGTGCTCCGAGCTCCAACCAGCAAAACAACCTTCGAAAAGTTCACACAATTCATAATCACAGAACCCTCGACCATGGCGTCAAGCATCCCAGAGCCACGGCAAGAGCAACATGTAGCACCTGGTTCGAAGTGGAGGGAACGATCGAGTGGAAACGCCAGTAGTGGGAAAGATCCACAAAAGAAAATTCCTTTGGTCCAGAAAGCAAGACATCCCGCTTATTATTATCCCGCAGAACAACCCAAACAAGAGAATGGTCAGCATTATTATAGCGAGAAGCCAAAGGGAACAATGAAAAGATCCCAGCAGAACAGTGCTGATCCGGATGACCCCATGATTACAAGCTTGATAAGAAAACAGTGGATCTTTCGTGATCCTGCGGCGGACGATCCCCTGGAGATTGCGTTGCAGTTCAAGAGCATGGCATTATCCAATATCAGCAATACCCAGCAAACATTTACCATGACAGTCATGGAAGATGTTGCCGTCTGGATCACCCGAGAAGAGTTTGAGGCTTTCTGCCGTTGTCCCGACAAACAAGACTTCAAACCGCATCATTTTGTCAATACGTACGTGTACAATTCCAGCGAAACACAGTGGCACGAACCTCACAGAACATTGGAAGGATCTCCCTATCATATCCGAGATATCTTTGGCGACAACAAGTGCTGGGCATTTCGTCAGAGACAGGGGAAAATTGTCTTTCATTCTCCCTTTGACTTGCACAACTTTCCCTTTGACGTCCAAGACTTGACCTGCAAGTTTGCTCTCTACACATATTCCAACTGCAGCACTGTCAAACGTGTCCTCGTGCGTCCCATGTACGGTGGCACCACCTTTTCCAGGTTATTTGTAGACCCCAACGACGAATACAAAGTCCACCGCGAGCATCGAACCTTTTTCGAAAGCAAGGGATACGTCTGCTGTACCTACAAGTTTAGTCGAGAATGGATCTACTACTTTTGGAAGGTCATGGTAGTGCTCAGTATTGTCACATTGACATCCTTGGCCAGTTTTGTCTCCTTTGGATCCTACTTGGAACAAATCACCCATCTTTCTACGGTCCTCTTGACTGACATGGCGTATCTATTCACGATTCAGAGCCATATGCCAACGCTGCGCTACCTGACTCTATTGGATTGGTGGGTGTTTGGCAACATTTTCTACGTCTTTGTCATGTTTATGGAAGTAACACTCATTGAAAAGCTGGAGATTGACATGGAACAGCGGCCAGGGGGTCAGGATGGGTTGAGACTCATGTCCATTGTGTTCTTGGCCAACTTGGCATGTTGGGCAATCCTTGTCTTTATATTTGTCATGATTGCAGTCAGGGCACGGCAAAAAGAAAGGAAAAAGTTGGGCAATCCAGCCAAGGAAGATGATTGGATGAAGGAGGAGCATGAACCTTTTGAGTGCAATTTGTTCGGTGGTGGATCCGACATGGCTTTGATGTTGGGCTGATCGGTGTACCAGGTAGTACGAGGTTTGAATGTCACCACCAAACACTTTGACAATTAACTCTCCTTTGCAATAGCAACGATTTGTTGGTTCAAGATTGATCCATGAGAGAATTGAAAGCAGACATGGCATCTTTTGTGGATGGAGAAGCAGCCAGAAAAGTTTGGCCACAGCAGCGGATTCTGCCCGTGCCACCCATCACCTTTTCGGCGTGACCATCATTTGTCCAATTCAAATAAAAAAGCATGATCTGGCTGCGATGTTTTGGAGACTCGCGATGGGGACGAATGTTGAATCGGGACGACCAAGAGATGGTGCTGCAGGAGCTTCACGAGGTACATATTTCGAGCCAATCTTCCTGCAAGCACACATGCAGCAGACTATAGCAACAGACTATAGCAAAATCATTGATTGTAGCTCTCGAGTTGATTCTATTTTCTATGATAGCAATCTTCCTTATGAAGCTTTTCTAAGATGGTATGTACAAGTTGAGTGGGAAGCATCGTAGTTCCCTTTTCTTGCTGTCAGTCTGACGCGAAATCATAGCTCTTGAGATTTCCGATGAACCACCGTGTCGTCAACGTTGCTACGTTTCCGACGGGCTATCAGGTATGCGTATATGCACAGCCATAAACAGCCAAGTTAAGCCACTGCAACAAAGGCCTTTTCGATGGCATCGACGACTCCCTGTCTTGCCTCCACTTTCAGCATTACATTGCCACTTGTGCTAATGAATCGATGAAACTTGGTTTTTGTCATGACTTCCATTGAAGATCGAATAGCTTTGGCGTTATCTTCTTCGGGAGTCTGCATGGCCTCGAGCCATTTCTTGCTGATTACTACGCGATTCTTCATGTATCCTGATACCTTCAGATGGACATATGCTGGTGTGTTGACAAAGGAATTGTCCATTTGATGTTGAAGACAGTCCCCTGTGATCAGCATGTTTCCTCCCGTTTCGCGTTGAAGCAACAGAACAGCTTCGGGTTGGGCGGTTGATTGGATAACAAAGCAACGGCAATCTGGGTGTGGCATGGTCATTCCATGTTGCAGTTTCTGGTGAATCGGGAGACTAGGGCAAGAAGCCAGTTTGCCAGGTGCCCATCGCTGGCATTTGGGAAACTTGGAGAGGTAATAGGCGTCCTCGACAACCGCACCGTCGTAGAAGTTCACGCTGGTTCCCAGTCTCACGATGTTCTGGATCTTTCCCAGCTTCAGCAACGATTTTTCTCCCGACTCGGTCAGTAGTATTGGGTTAATCACAGTGAGATTGCCGTCTGGGGACTTCAAGACAATCATATTGCGATTGATCTTGTAGGTTTCAAACCGAGCAACACAGTGAAAAACAAAGCAATCTTCTCCCACGCTCTTAATTGCCTTGGTCGCATACTGAAGAGGCTTTGGGTCTTTGCCGCTGCTGTTCTTGGGGAGAGATGTCATGGTGCTTGGCTGATTCGATTATCCAAAGAGTGTTGGTTGATTGGGTCAGTTCTAGCCTCGCTCTAGCTATCTAGGAATTGTGAGCAATCACTCAAACCTTTCCCACCAGTGCAACTCTTTCGGCAACCTTGACGGTTCCTTTGTCTTTGGTCGCTGAGAGCCCCATACTGGTACGGACAGTGTAACACACAGCTAGCTAGACTGATACCGGTTGCTGGCTCGAGTGTTGGAGTGGGGGGAGTGGTACGGTACTGGGTCACTTTGGTACCCAGTGAAGCTCCCAATGACTACAGATGCTCGCATTGTACTTAAACATCTGCCTTCTCTGATCCGCCACTGGTAAGTCTTGCTTACGCATCTGTTTTCCAACTCGTGGTGGTACGTAGCTTTATGTACATCGTAGGTCGAGTGTGGCTTCCTCGTCGAATTGGGCCGTCGGGATTGACGTCCTCTGTCCTCTACTAGCTAGCTAGATCTGGGCTCTGGGGAAGCTGTGGCCTCTTCCGCTACATGGCTACGGCAGCCAGCCAGCTACAGCATGAAGTCTGATGTCTTCCTAATAAAGTGGATGTACTGTAGTTCTGGCGAAATACCGTCGGCTGCGGCGCAAAGCGGAATGAATCGAATGATGAATCGAATCTCCATGTTAGCCACGAAAGGCTGCGTCCTTGGCACCCTGGTACCTACTTTCCTACCGTAGCTAGCTATGCAACTGGTTGGCGTGCCGTACGAGAAGTGCATGTCATTGACAGCGAGCATACGGTACGAGTCGAGTCCGTACGTTGGTGCCGCTAGGGGGTACATCGTACCTTGGTCAGTCCGCAAGCAACGAATGATTGCAACGGGACACCTAGCTGCAGCACACCGGTAGCTACCGGTATGATGGCTGGTGATTATTATTCATGGATACGGTAGAAGCAGACAGGGATAGAGGAAGCAGGTCTCCTCTCATATCTCCAGGTGCAGTAAAGGTCCTCTATTTGGAATAATCCCTACTCTAGCTGCTACCACCGGGTTCGAGTGGCTGAGATTATTGGAAGTGGGCTGCGTGGGCACGAAAAGGGTACCGGTTGTGTTCTCGGCGTCTCACCATCGAGATTGTCTATCATGCCATCACGGCACTGGGTGGGAAGTACTGGTACGGTACCTGGTCCGGTAGCTCTAGCTAGTGCGGTAGCTCGTACCATACCTTTTTAAAAAAAGAGAGTCTCTGTGAGCACGCACACTTGCTTTTGGGCAAGAAGTCGAAAGATCGCGCCGAAGCCAGACTGAGAACTTCTTGACATGACCACCAGCTTGCTTGGGCAACTTGAATACCCTCATCAATGGCCCACACACACTGCCGCAATCCAGGAAGCATGGGCACAACAACGTCGCGCTACTGTACGCCTGAGCCCAACCATCCACAACAAGAATCACAAAGGCAGGAGGAGGGAAGAAGCAAACGCTGAAGCTCATACTCTTCCCAAATTCCACTGGGCCGAGCTTTCCTGTTCTTCGCATTCCACTCACTGTACTGTAGCTCCCACCGCACGGTACCAACCCCATGACAGCGTCCGTCGTTCCTAGTAGTAGCATCATGCCGAACCAAGATTCCAATGATAAACATAATGACAATAAGAAGAAGACTAATTGGTACTCTTCCATGCCCTCCTTTCAAGCGTTCAAGGAGATTACCAACGATGCCTACTATCGGACAGCGCCAGACGATTGGCACGTGGTAATTACCGATGTCAAGGGCAGCACCAAAGCCATTGAGGAAGGACGGTACAAAGATGTCAATACCATTGGAGCTGCTTCTATTTCCACCGTCAAGACACTGCTGGAACACGACAATTTCCCCTATGTATTTGGTGGCGATGGAGCCACCATGATGGTCCCTCCCGACGATATTGACCGTGTGCTTCAAGCGCTGCTCAAATTGCAACGGTTATCCGAACGGACGTTTGATCTGGGTCTTCGCGTAGGACACATTTCCGTCCGGGAGGTACATCATCATCAAGCCAATACTACTAGTAGTAGTAGAAAGACCATTCAAGTCGCCAAACACGAATTGACCGCGGGAAAGTGTGTGGCCGTCTTTCGCGGGGGTGGTTTGACCGTAGCAGAATCCAAAATCAAGGGAGAAGAAGACAAGTACTGTGTCGTACATCCACCCAACAACAAGAAACGAGACAATACCTTTTTCGAATTGAGTGGATTGTCCTGTCGATGGAATCCCGTACCCAGCAAACGGGGCAAAATCATGTCCTTGCTCGTTCTGGCGCGGGAAGACGACCACAATATCAACAACAATAACGCAATCTACAATCACGTCTTGTCCGAATTGGACCAAATCTACAATGGCGAATTGGAAACAGAAAACCCCGTGCATACGGAACTCATGACCTACAGGACGGTATTGGAGAATATTCGCAATGAACGGCGATTCTATCTCCACAACAGCGCCAGCCAGAATCCTGTGGCTTTTCTCAAGCGGCTTTCCGAGATTGTCTATGCCGGATCTGTTTTTCGCAGCACTACTACTAGTAGTAGCACTAAAAAACCAAAACAACTGGCTCCTTGGGCGGCCCACTACAAGGCATCCATGAGAGATCATGCCGATCATCGCAAATTCGATGACATGTTGAGAATGATCATTGATTGCAGTGACGAACAGGCCACTCGCATTGAATCCATCTTGGAAGGGATGCGAAGGGACGACAAGATTTACTATGGCATATTCAAGTCCGATACGGCCCTCATGACGTGCTATGTGGAGGATCTTTCCGATGGTCATCACATTCATTTTGTGGATGGCGGTGATGGGGGCTACGCCATGGCGGCCAAACAACTCAAGGCACAGCTCAAAGAGCAATAATAGTCCATGGTGGAGGAGGTTACACAACCTTCCGTCCTAACATGGTACCAAACATCAAATCTTGTGGCTTATGTAACTATTATTTTATTTTTATCGGATAGATGCAAGTACAGCTGAGTCTTTACAGCAATCTATTTAGTTTTGGATCATACACAACAACTTTATCAGCAAGGTATCGACATCCACAATGCCGCAATGAATGTCAGCCAAAAGCCGGACCGAGTGGAGGATGAGTACCATAGCGGACCTTCGTCCTCGTCGTCAGGGTTGGTGCTGTTTTCCTCGTCCGAGTCCGTGTCGTTCGAAGACAGCTCTTCGTTATCGTCGTCATCCATCGATTCTGTAAAATTTGTGGGGGACACGGTAGGCCTCAGTGAAGGTGTTGCCGATGGAACCATCGAAGGGGACTCGCTGGGAGCAAAGGTGGGGGGTCGGGTAGCCACGACATAGCAAGGCAGGTCAGGTTCCATATCCGTGAGCCATTCAAAATCTAGGATAGAAGGAATGCCCTGGGGACACTGAGGGATCTGACCCACGTTGCTGTTGTCTTGTTGTGACATGTTGGGAACGTACGAAACATCTACAGCCGCCAACTTGGTTCGCAGTGACTCATACTCCGGATAAGGAATGTACTGGCAGTGCGTTGTGAGGTGATCGCATTCCAAGGGTGTGTAGTAACCCACGCCGTACTGGAGTTTCATGAAACCATTGTACGGCCATGGATTGCCCTGAGGAGATGTGTCGGCCACCAATTTCTCGGCCGAGTATTCAAAGACGACTCCTCCAGCAAAGACATTCGAGTAGGTTTCGCTGTAGAGGGCATCCACTTGCTCCCATGTCCGCTGTGCTTGGAATTCTCCCACAGTGGGGAATGAGGATTCTCGGCACCCATACTCGGCGACAATCATAGGACCCGGTAGATTGATGGCTTCAAAATCTTGTCGCATCTGCTCCCATCCCACCAGTGGGATATTCGGATTGCAGTGCTGATAGGCATTCAGGCCGTACCACTCGACTGGTTCTAATGGATCATTGGGATCGTTCTGACAACCAAAGTAGGTTGCCTGAAGTTGTCGTTCGTGATCCCAATTGACCAGTCCAATGGGCACTTTGCGTGGCAAGATGGAGTTGAGGACCTCGCTGCACGTGCTGACATAGGCTCTCATATCTCGTAGAAACTTCTTTTGACAGGGAGCATTGAGTTGAATCTGTCTGTCTCGGGCATACAACGTGACTTCATTCCCCGCGGAAAAGGCAAGCGTATTGGCGTATTTGGAAAACTCATTAATGATCCACTGTCCACGTGCCTTGAGCGATGCCGGATAACAGGATGGTGCCTCGTTGGGTCCAATGGCACATCCATCGCAATCGGCCAGCAACCCGACAATGACATGGATTCCCACACTTTGCAAGGCACACATAAAGGCATCATGATTCTGACTCGGGTCCACCGCGTAGATGCGAATGGTGTTGACTCCCAACTGCTGTAATTGCGCAATATCTGGTTCCCAGAGATGACGAAAGCCTTCGGTAAAGAAATCTACCGAATTGCTGCCGGTGGAGAGTGTTCCCTCATTGGGTCGAGGGTAGTAGGCAATTCCCTTGACTGGGAAATACTGGTCTGTTTGTGAATCATAAAAGCGCTTTCCCTTCATTACCACGGGATGGTTGGAGATGGTAGAGTTGGCACATTGGACGTACTTGATGACAGGTATCTGATCGGCGGATACATGGACTACCACAGTTTGCAGGAGCAGCAAGAGAAAAGGTAATGTCGAGCCCATTGTCATTTTTGAATTATTGCCTTGAGTGAGATAAGGGAGAAGCGTCTTTGGTTGGAGTGAGTACCTGGTACTGTATTGGTATTAGTATCGGTATCAGTATTGCACCACCTCCAAAAAGGATGAAGCAGATCTTCAATGACGTGAGAGTTAGTCGAGACCTTTAAACCAAAAGGAAGTTTCATAAACTTTATTATGAGAGCAGATCCAGCGGAGGTTGTGGTATTGTTTGTAGAGCCAGCCAGAAGGTTGCCAGATCACATACGGTACATAACAACATCTATCTCATGGTTACTTGTGTCTCTTCACTTTGTGCGAGGGATGTTCCGATTCAAAAATTTGGCGTCTTTTTTGGTAGATTTGGTGGAAAGCACACTTAGCGTCATTCGTGGATCAAGCTTCCGAGTCTGCTGGCGTCAGAAACGTTTTTGAAACAATTCGGGACAGGATCTTCGTCACTCAAAACAGCTCTTCAGACTTTTGGATCTTTCGCACCACTTTACTTTTTTGGACGCCAAAAATCGAGATCGATCTTGCAAAGCAAACGGTCGAACAGATCCCATGCATTCTCACTATCGACATCGACATCGACATCCATCTCTCTATCTGGCACCCGACCTCAGGCACTATATACATCCCACCGCCTCTTCTCTTTTTGTCTCTCTCTGTCTCCGTATCTTCGGAGAGATTGATTGCCTGCTGAGCTTAGGTGGAGGTTCATTCTACAAGAAACAAGGGTATATATTGAAAGTATCGGCGTGGGTACCAGTATCATATCTCACTTCCGCAGCGGTGGTCGCAGAGCTTTTCGCTTTTTACTTTTATAAAAAGCCATCATGGACATGGTCAATAGCTTTTTTGGAAGACGATCCTCTGCTGGTACTGGCAGTAGTGGAGGAGACGCCTCTGGAAGTGCCAATGTCCCAAATCCTGCAGCGGCAGCTTCATCGTCCCACGTGGATTATGGCTATGGCGAAATTTCACACAATCCCAGCAGTGCCAGCAGTGACAGTGATTGGCCCGATGACATGTCCGATAAGGAAAGTCTACAGAGTTGGGCCAAGGATACACAAAAACAAGAGGAGGAAGATGATGAAGATCTTTTTGGTACCAAAGAAGAGCATAATTTGAAACGGTGGTTCATTGTCGTGACCGTGTTGCTACTCTTTCTCGCTATTGGGGTTTCCGTATTTACGTATTGGTACCTGTCCACACAAGAGCAGGATACGTTCGAACGAGCTGTAAGTGAAGTGAACCGTGGGTTTGGTTTGTTAGTTGGTTGTTTAGTTGGTTAAGTCATTGTTGGAATACTTACCCCTCCCTCCCTGCCACTACACTTACTGGATGATATCCTTTAGTTTGAAAACACGGCGCAAGCCATTGTGGATGGGGCTGATTATCGCATGAAAGTGATTGAAAGATCCCTCTTGGGAAAATCCCAAGCATTGACTACATTTGCAGTTTTCACAGGCTCTCTGTGGCCCTTCGTGTCCATGCCAGACTTTTACGTGTCGGGGAGAAACTTTTTGATCGAAACAGAGACACAAATGATAGCATGGGCACCCCTGGTGACAAACCAACCGGACCTACGGGCGTGGGAGGCCTATTCCACCTACATGCTGGAAAACTCGGGATGGTTCCCTCCTGTCGAAGTAGAAGAACGACTCGAAAAACAAGCCGAACGCCTGGAAGAACAGGCCAAACAACAACGACAACACGAGGGACGAAGCACCGAAACACCGCCACCCGACTTGGAATTCTCTGATGCGGGGGGACTCTACGTTCCCCTGTGGCAAGTATCACCTTGGCTCTACAATGCATTGATCAATCACAATCTGACGGCACAGTTTGAAGATTCCATGACATTGTTGCTGAGAACGAAACAACCCGTATGGACACGGTTTGTGGACATTAACAATCCGTACTCATCCACCACTGGTGATATTGACGAACCAATCTCCGTGTACGAAGTCAATCAGCCTCAACAAGAAGAACCCAAAGCCGCGACGAATGAAACAGTAGTGGCAAGCTTCTTGTTCCAGCCCGTTTTCAAGGCTTTACGGAATCATGATGTGAGCTATGAGGCAACAACTAACATAACTACGGATCAGGAAGAGATTGTCGCAATTTACTTGACAGCCGTCCAATGGGATTCTTTCTTGGGCTCACTTGTCCCAGAAGGAACTCCGGGAGTGAGCATCGTTCTCACCAATCAATGGGGACAAACTCTTACTTATCAAGTCTCTACAGACAACGAAGGTCGCGTCACCGCATCCACTACATTGGTTGGGTCCGGTGATCAACACTCGTCTGACTATGATGATCTTTCAAAAACAACAAACCTTGCGAAGAATACAATGGAAGAGAGTATCCTTGTAAATGAACTCGTCCCTTCCGTTGCCAAAGTGGTAAGCCCCCGCCATCCCCACACTGTAGAGGAATTGCAAGCCAAGGATTACCCAGAGACGCATCCACTCATGATCGAAGCACGGCAGTCCTTGCAACAAGAGACGGCAGAAGAATTCGCATATTCGGGAAACTTGAAAATGACAATATATCCCACGGCCGACTTTGAGAATGCCTATACGTCGATGCAACCCTTGACAATGACTCTGATATTGGCGGCGCTGGGATGTTTGGGCACTGTTTCTTTCTACTTGTACTCCCAATCGGTGCACAATCGACAACAAAAACTTGTGGAGACGGCCAATCGAACTGCCTTGGTGGTCAAATCGCGTACGTCTCTTTTGTGTTGTTGCATGCTGCCTTACTACAATTTTAAGAATTGAATCTGACCCTTGTATAGTCTTTCCAAGCAATGTCCGCGACAGAATCATGAAAGAAGCAGAAGAAGTGGAACAAAAGAATCAGGCAAAGAAGAAGAAAGCCCAACAGAAACAACTGGATGGAAGCAACAGTGAGCGAGGACCAGGTGGTAGTACAGCTGGCAGTATGGGGCATGGTGGGGTTGTCAGTGGTGGGTCGATCCTCGGTGGACTGAGTGTAGGGAGTGCTGGATCCCGACATTCACGGAGTTCTCGCCGATACGCTCCCGGTAGTCTGGATGACAGTCGAAGCCGCGAATTTACAGTGCCACAACGAAACAGCAGCATGGGAGCGAGTAACCCGTATGGAAGTGCTCCCATTGCAGACCACTTCAATGCAACGGTGCGTGGATTTGGTTGCTCTGTTTTCAACATATCATGCGTGATGATTCTTACTTTCCTCGTTCTGTTCGGTCATCAGACGGTGCTTTTCGCTGACATGGTCGGTACGTGCAAAAGGTGTGAGCTCAATACGGACGATTCAAAAACTAAGCGAACTGCGAGCGCTTTGTATGTCTCTACCTTATACACTCAGGCTTCACAGCGTAAGTCCAGAAGATGTTGCCCCACGCAAGCCGTTGCAATCGTCTCACGAAAGTTGATTGTTCGACTTCTGTAGTTGGAGCTCTGTGCGGGAACCCGTCCAGGTGAGAAACGAAGCCATGTAGATCTCCCCCCCCCAAACACGCTGTCTCACATCTCCCACTGCAACGCAGGTGTTCACACTGTTGGAGACGGTGCGTCGTTTCTTTCTTGCGATCTTTATATTTTCTATGTCCCAGAAGACAGGCGTCTAACCACCATCGAACTATGAACCGCAGATTTACCATGCTTTCGACAAGGTGGGCCTTGAAAACACTGGATTCCAAAGTCCTCCGGTTGGTGAAGCACTCACTTTTTATTCTATTTGGAAATAGGTGGCTAGAAAGAGGGGTATTTTCAAAGGTATGGACATCTTTCAAAGTTTCCTTTAAGATAACGTCGTCGTGAACGGCAAATCCTGATCCCAATGTTTGTTGCCGTCGCAGTTGAGACAATTGGAGATTGTGTACGTCAACATTGGTGCACTTGCCGCTTTGCGTGCATACTGTCTTTTGGAGGCTCAACTTGCCCTTCCGCTATTCTGAAGTACGTGGCTGTTTGTGGGCTCCCAGGTAAGTTTCAAGGGCAAGCTGTTGGACGCACAGAAGACAAATCCTTCCTCATCATCATTGAACTTACAAACCATCACAAAGTTCCACGCCCGGATCACGCGATTGCCATGGCATATTTCGCGAATGATTGCCTCCGCAAAATGATTACTCTTACAAAGAAGCTGGAGATTACCCTTGTAAGTGCGACGTGTACTTTGCTCGAGTACGGCGCAATCATACTGACTCGACCATTGCTCTTGTCATGACAGGGACCAGACACAGGTAGGAAACTAATGACGTCTATGCGTTGCTGGTTTGATTTCACTTCGCGCACGCATCTTACTCATGTACAATCTGCAGGAGATTTGTCTTTGAGAATTGGTCTACATTCGGTGAGTCCTTGGGATCGCTATGTTCTGGTAGATTCTGCCATTTTCATCCCAAATACTCACTCTTCCTCGCCGTGCCTCCGCCGACACTAGGGTCCTGTAACAGCTGGTGTTCTGCGGTAGGTACAGCATTTCTTTCAGACAATTTTGAGGCTAGCTTGTCATCCAGACCTTACCACTTTTCCTGCTGCAAAAGTGGCGAGAAGTCTCGGTTTCAACTCTTTGGTAGGTTTTGTGAACTCTTTAGTACGAGGAAAGCAGAAGGCAATGACTCACTTTGGCTTGACTGTCACTCTTGGTCACTCCCGGAACTCGTACCGAAGGTGACACTGTAAACACTGGTAAGTGTCTGGTTTGGTGTATTGCTGGAGGGCGTTCGGTGGTTTTGCTGACGAACTCTTTCTTCAATCAATGACAGCGTCACGAATGGAATCCAACGGGAGAAAGGATTGCATTCATATTTCAGAAGCGACAGCGACGCTTCTAATGGAGTCGGGGAAACAGCGGTGGCTTAGTCAGAGAAGAGATAAAATTGTGGCAAAAGGGAAAGGGGTATGTCCTCACAGGCGAGTGTTTCGTATTTTATTTGAGAACTTTGCTTACCTACTCCGGAATCGAATCACCAATCGAACTGTAGGAAATGGTAACTTACTGGCTGGAGGTTAGATCTTCACTGTCAAATTACATTGAAAGCTCCAGCCGCAGGAGAGCAAGTGGAGCCAGTGGCGAGTCTGGAGGAACTGGGGGAACCGGAGGAACTGATGACGATGTCGACGGAAGCAGCATGGGAGATTCAAACTCAGACCTGGAACCAAAGATGCCTGATTGGGAGAAGGATGTATCTTTGAAAGGATCATCCCCGCAGCTTGGGGATAGGTTTCAGCGTCTGGTGGACTGGAACGTGGAACAACTCGTCAATTTACTGAAGAAAGTGGTGGCCAACCGGAAACCAAATGAAGATGCTGTAAAGGGTTCACACTTCGACCTCAGAACAGACTCGTCGATTCTGGAGGAGGTCACCGAGGTAATCCCTTTTCCCAAACCAAATATTGCGGACATCCTCGTTGGCGATACACAGCCCAAGCAGGACGTTGAGCTGGATTCAGCAGCAGTTGCCCAACTACATGAGTTTCTTACTACCATTGCAATGCTCTACAATGGTGAGGCAGACTATCCTGTTTTATGAAGGCCGATGCCGTCCTGTCACTCACATTCACCTCACGTCCGTCCGTACGCCTGCTTCCAAATCAGATAATTCGTTTCACAACTTTGCTCACGCGGTAAGTATGTCTCGCTCAGGGCCTGCCGTCGCGTCGTGACGTTGACTTATCCATCACTTTGTGAATGTACAGAGCCATGTGGCCATGGCGCTCATCACCTGGTTATCGCGCATCACACCACTTCCGTCTGATGGAGATACGGAAAATATGTACGAGGCCAAGCTGACTGGTGATTGGAAACGACGGTCAAACCCATGCAAGGATATGTTTGCATTGCAAGCAGATCCTTTGACGCATTTCGCCCTTATCTTCGCTGCCCTCATACACGACCTAGATCATACGGGGGTCCCAAACGCAACTCTTGTCAAAGAGAAGTCTCAAATTGCAACACTGTACAACAACACCAGCATTCACGAACAAGCCTCTGTGGACTCGGCATTCGAAACACTGATGGATGACAAGTATGAACAGTTACGAGACGTTCTCTTCACAACCGAAGAGGAGTTCTATCGTTTTCGTCAAATCGTGATGAATTCGGTAATGGCCACAGACATTTTGGATGAGAAGATCATGGCAAAGCAATCAGTGCGATGGGGTTGTTTATTTCGCGATGCAGACGATGAGGAAGACGATGCAGTCTTCGCGGACGATTATGCACCTGAGAATGAAGGAGACCAAAAAGCGTCCCTGGTTGTCGAACGGTTACTTCTGGTTTCCGACATTGCACACACTATGCAGCACTGGTATGTTTACAGAAAATGGAACTCAAAACTGTTCGAAGAGGCATACTTTGCCTTCAAGGCTGGCCGAGCCGATATAGACCCGTCAATTACGTGGTATGAGGACGAGATCACGTTTTTCGATACGTATGTGATCCCACTGGCCACCAAAATGAGGGAGTGTGAGCTGTTCGACTCGTCTTGCGAAGAGGGTATCCGGTATGCAACAAGCAACCGCGAACAATGGGTGACCACTGGAGCAGAGGAAGTTGCCTCCATGGTGGAGAGCTGCAATGAAATAGAATTCGAGGTGGAAGACACTTATAACCCGATACCCGACGGCAGAATATTTGCTCCATCAAACGGTGCGTTTCGACTCGATTTACCGGTGTCGTTTTTCATTTCTGTGCACGAGGTTGATTGTCTAACCTCTAACCTTGCTGGATCATTTTATATCTACTGACCACTCTTACTTCATCAGGCCGGCCAAGCCTGAGAGGGTCTTTCAAGAAGGGCATGGATATGTCCTTGGCCACTTTTGACACTGTTTTGGGACAGGGCGGGAGGGGTGGGAGGTAATGTCGCATGGTTTTGCTTGAGGCTGCGGAAGCGACTTAATACAGCTCGAGTGTAAACTGGCTGGGGCGAATCTGAACCGACAGCCACAGCTCTTTGTAGCTCCAAAGCTGTGTTTCGTGCCACCTAAGGTACCAAATGTACCATCGCAGCATCGCCGGACCTCCAAAATTCGGGTACGTACCGGTACTGTACACCTTTAAAAGGACAGCTAAAGGTAACGCAACGCGACAACTGGTACGGCACTGCTTCTAAAGGGAGACTCTTATCGATACGCAAGTAGTGTACAATAGCTCAGGCTGGATCTGTTTCCAAAGCCGAGCGGATTTGTGTGCCGAGGGATCGAGTCACACCATTCTTCAGGTTACCAAAGAGGGAAGATTCCGCGGGAAACTAAGGCAAATCGCTGTCTAGACTGGTTCCTGATGGGAGCCTCAGCCAACGGTACAGCTCTAGGTTGGACTCGATACGGTAGCTCTATTCGATCCATTTGCAGTCTCCTCTTGCGAACTTTTCAAAGTCCCTATTGATAAGCTTCTGTCCCGTTGCTTCATCTAATCCATCGTCATACACGACTGCATCATGGCAATCACGTTCATGGGGGTCCTTGTACTCCAATCCGAGAAAGTCAAAGACGTCCTTCTCTGTGCTGGCATCTTCAAGTAGTCTTTTCCCCTTTTCACCGCCGACCCCCCTCTTGAAGATCCCATGATCACTCAACTGCAGGTTGTGCTTCACATCAGCATACAGGCGGATTGATCGGTTGAAGAAGCCACAACCCGTGAAATGAATCCAGGCAAAGGCTCGTTCACGGTGCGGGTAGAACTTGATGTCGACTCGTCGCCGTTTTCCGGGCACAGTGGGGGAATGGAAGACACCCATGTATGACGACCCTGATTCTTTACCGGGTTTCGGTTTGGGTGGGTTGTCGTCGCTGTAGTTGTAACCCCCTTCCTTTGTGTCGCCCTTCCGGCGTACTTTCATCCCGGCAATAAAGGTCAAATGAAAGGCCATGTGCCCCTCATCCAATAGTACTTCGACCACCTCACCCAAGACCAGAGGAGGAACTGTTTTGACGTAATCCTTGTGCGTGATGATCAAATCAACATCTCCGCATTCCTTCTTGCCTCGACGGTAACTCCCCATGATGGTAATCTCAAGCTTGTCTTCAGACCGCCCAAACCGACGTCGAATTGCCTGCTCAATGATGTTCCCAATGGCTTCCGCTTTGGAATTGGCAAATCGCTCATGTTGAATGAGATGGGCAAGCGAGAACATTTCAAAGCAAAAAGTGAACTGCCGTTGCTTGCCGTACCTTCGTTTCTAGTCATTTGCTCACGAAAATCCTCGAAACACTGGACTCCAATCTTTTGGTTTCTCTCGAGCTTAAGTTCTTGGTTCTCAAGCCCCCGACGGACATCCTCAATGGTTCTGTATCCCTGCTTGACCAGATCTGTTGCCTACCAGCACAAAACAAGGCATCAGGCTTCGAAGACATCATAGGCTAAAGAAAAAGGCAAGCCGCAAGCGAGCAAGTCCAAACTAACCTTCTTGCTCCCAGCACCCCATATTGCCATCATTTCTCTCATGGCCACACGATCTTTGTCCAGCGTCTGAAACACAGTGATGCGCTCCAGAGTTCCAGTCGACAAGATCTCCTCGATTTTTCCCAGCGTGGATTTGCCGATGCCGTTGATTTTCTCCACAAGCTTCAAGGTATCAGTATTGACTTCAAAATCCAAATTCTGGATCCGTCCTGTGACAAACAATGACATAGTAAGCAACACAAACATGAGTGCCCGACCAGGAGAAACCTCATCCAGAGCGCTCCAATCTTACCCGCCGTTTTGTCCAAGGAATAAGACTTCCACGGGTCACGCAGCCGGTCGATTGGCGCCTTTTGGTGCAGTTTCGCCATGATGCGCAATTGGTCGGCAATCATCATATTCTGTGGAAAGCGGCGGTTCTTGCCTCTCTCTTCCTCTTCATTGTCACTCCCAGGATTGCCCGCTTCCTCCAAAGACTGGGGCTTTTTGGCAGTGGCCTTTGAAGATGCCTGACGAGTCATTCAAAGGATCATAAGCTCAGAACATGCGCAAATAAAGAAATAAATCTAGCAAAATCTAACTGGGACTGGCGCTTACCTTGTTGGAACCAAAAAGATCCACCTTCCACCACCGCTGATCTCGACCTAGCTGAGCCCGGAGCATCCCCGTGGTCTGAATAATCCAAATTGGCAGCGCACATTGCATACCGTGCTAAGAAACAAGAAAAAGAATCAGAAAAACACTGAAATAATATAGGATAAAACAAGACCAAGACAAAATGCCATGCTACAGTTACCGCTCGAAGATACTGCTCAAATGCTTCTACAGATTTGAATTTCAACAGCTTGGCTACTCTATCTGCCTTTACGGCGTCGTCCACGACAAGATGCGTGGGACGAGGGAGCCCTTCCAACTGTCGGTGCCGCTTTCGGGTCTTTCGATTCTTCTGCAACTCCTCCTGTGATGGCGGCGCCTCAAAATCTCGAACCACCATGGCGCCCTTTTCCACGGCCGTTTTGGCCAATTGATCAATGCGAACCTTCGGCATTTCAAGGCCCAGCTTGATGAAGAAGATCACAACATCCGGTGTGTCATCGCTGTCCACAGTCACCACAGAAGCGCTCATCTTGCTCTTGGTTTGGCAATGACAAATGACAAACGACAACAGGACTGTGGAAATGGCGCATGAAGACCGACCGAAGGGAACCTTCCGGGCAAACGGCCAGACTTTGTATTTTTCATGCCGATGCAAGGTTGAGGATACGGCAAGCCAGCTCTACCGGTACCGGTACGGTAGCCTCCAAGGTGCATCTAGAAGCTGTCTAGAGCAACTCATTGCTCCTATTGCTAAACTAACTCAGCAAAGACCATGGACCAATGCTATTGAGACACCGTACTGTACCATTTGGTAGCGCAAATACCACAATCGGTGCCATGTGATATCAGTATGTAGGAGGAACCACGCTTCAGAAAGAACTTCTTCAAAAGTCTGTGTTGAAAATGATATCTATGTAGTTATAAAAGTTTTGAAAGTGAAAAACAGTGGTCCCATGGACACGATCGAGTCGAGGCCTCTTTGGGGAAGGCTTGCCTACTGGCCAGCCTTGAAAGTCCTTGCCCTCAGATTTCTTGGGTGACATGCTGGTTGACCTGTTGGCTGCACCCTGCTCCCTTGTGAAGCTCGAGTTTAACGTTTCCCTGGAAGTAACTGACCCAGTCGCGGGAGCTTCCATAATGAGCCTTGTGAAAGCCTTCTTGTTGCTCCATTTCTTCTTCTTGGAGGACTTGCACATGCTGCTCTCCCTCTTCAGGGCCGCCACCTCCTCCATGTGTTGCTCGTATTTCTTGGAGAGAATATGTACACAAGGCACCACCCACCTTGACAGTCTTGCCAGCAAAGGCAGAACGATACGTCAAGAGTTTGTCTTCAGCGGGCTTGGAGTGATGCGTCGACATGCCCAAATTTTGGCAGGCCAAGGCAAACTGAGTGATCATGCGATCAAACAAGTGCCGTGAGAGTATCTGAAACATGTAGATATTCTATAGTTATAAAAGTAAAAAAACTACATGAAGGTGGAGGGACATTTCCACACACGAGATCTTCCACGAGTCGAGGCCTCTTTGGGGAAGGCTCGCCTACTGGCCAGCCTTAAACACTCGCTTAATGAAATCAGGCATCTTGGACTTTCGTTTGGAGTCCTTGCCCTCGGATTTCTTGGATGACCTGCTGGTTGACCTGTTGGATGCATCCTCTCTTGTGAAGCTCGCGTTTAACGTTTCCCTGGAGGTAACCGACCCAGTCTCTGTCTCGGAGCAGTCGGGAGCTTCCATAATGAGCCTTGTGAAAGCCTTCTTGTTGCTCCTTTTCTTCTTCTTGGAGGACTTGCGCATGCTGCTCTCCCTCTCCTGGGCCATCACCATTTCCATGTGTTGCTCGTAGGTTTTGGAGAGGATATGTGGACACGTGGCACCACCCACCTTGACAGTCTTGCCAGCAAAGGCAGAACGATAGGTCAAAAGCTTTTCTTCAGCTGGCTTGGAGTGATGCGTCGACATGCCCAACTTTTGGCAGGCCAAGGCAAACTGAGTGATCATGCGATCAAACAAATGCCGCGAGAGTCGAGCACAGTAACGCCCCCGGGGGTACATGACAATCTCCAACATCTTTTGGCGGTGTGCCACATCAACGTCGTCGGGCAAAAAGGCCAGTTGCAAGAAGGACACACAGAAAATGTGATGATCGACCCACGGTTGATCGAGGAACGTATCGGCAATCTCGGAGTCTCCTTCGGCACCGAACCGATCCGTGAGCTCGCAGGTCCATTCACGGACGGTATGCTTGGTGGCGTTCTTGCCGGCCAAAGCGGTGGGCAACCAATCGGGAATGTCAATGCTGGCGAGTGTGGGAAGAACGGCAGGTTCCTCCGTGCCAATGGTCTTGGCGGATGCCCATGGCAGTTTCTTGAGTTCCTTTGGATCCATTTCCTTTTCCTTCTTGGCAAGTTCGGCGCCATATTCAAAGACGACCCGGAGAGGAGCCATGAGGGCGACACACTCATCAATCAGATCCTGGCTGACTTGGAAGCTCTGCAGACCCTCGACGAAGCAGCCCGCCAGAGTGTCAAAGTGACCGGCGTCGAGTCCAAGGTCTCGAAAGAGTCGAGTGTGAGTTCGGAGAAGGTATTCACGAAGGTTTTCATCATCGGGCTGTTCTTCGTCGGTACCGAACATCACTTTGAAGAGCTTGACAGTGTGAGTCTTCATTGCCACCATGGCAATGTTCTTGAAGAAGGGCTTCATATCAGGGTGCTCCACCAATTCGTCAAAGAAGGACCATACCATAATGTTCATCATGGCATCACCCCCCAGCCGTTCGTAGAGAGTTGCTCGCTCCTCCTTGGAAGAAACGGAGGAAGTGGATGAATCGTTCATTGGAGCCACCATTGTGCTTGGACGAATATTTACTAGTAGTTGATGAAGTTTGTTTTGCTTGGCTGTTTGCAAGTTGCAGAAGATTTGAATTGTGAGCAGTTCATTCTGACTGAACTGATTGAACGCGATGATGATGCTGCACAGGTCCCAGCCACTGGTACCAGCATTTTGTTTATTATGTAGCATGCTAGCTACTCGTACCATACTCTCAGTAGCATTACCAGCGGGGGAGCCAAGGTCTACGGTCTACGATGGCATCACTGCATAAAGCCGAATTTAACGTCTTCGCAAAATGAATTGCGAAGAAGAGAACTAATGACTGCATCAACGTTCCGGCAAGAAGTAATTAAGTCACTAAATGACTGCTTTACCCAGTCTTGGGACCTTCTAATTCGTTATCGTCAGAAGACAAGATTCAAAGGCCTTTTATTGTTCCATAAACGATCCATGTTTTAAGAGTCACTTTCTCGTCGATCCACAGAACCATTCGAGATTCGAGATACTAGTACTCAGATTACTCAGATCTCAGATACTGTACTCGTACCCGGTACTACAGGAGGACATGTATGTATGTGCAAATTCATAACAATACAGTCATCAAAGAACGCAAAATGCCACAGTGATTGAAAGAATTACGGACACAATTCAATAATTCAGAGGCAGAACGCTGAACGTTGAACACAACATGGTGGTACCGGGTACCGGTACCAGTACCACACCCACTCTCACAAAAATTCAATTGAACTATGGATGCTGGAACGCTGGAACCTCTCAGCCCGTCCCAACTTCGAGCGTGGCTTTAGCAGCTCTTTAGCGCAGCTTCCAGCTCTATTTTGGCATCTCGATCGAAAGAGACGCTGGCATTGGAGGGAGGTTATGGAGCAGGCTGAAGACTTCTTAGAATGGACCAGTAGAGGTACATACCAGTACGGTACGATACAGGCACTGGTACAAATCCAAATCCAAGGACATCATCATCATTCCACTTCCCCCTTGGCCGAAAACGCTGGCGCAAGTGCACACCTCTGGGACCAGTGAAGTGTGCCTGCTAAGTGGGGGCGCAAACAGTCCTGTCTCCCTCTCTTGGATTCGAAGCTCATCCAATTCGATCCGTGGCTCCTCTTGGTTGCAAAAATGAATGTCGTTGATACCTGAAATTGGAATCAAGAAACCTGTGTTCAAGTGAAAACAAGAGAAGGAAAGGACTGGAGCCGCTGCTAAACCGAAGCAGCAACCAGCCACTGTCATTGGTTGGCTTTGGAAAATGATCAGGACGACGACCTTCCTGTGAGGTAGGAGAAGGTAATGATGAAAAAGACTGCTGCACCAGCCGAATACCTCCCTGCTCCCTAGAGGCCTCCCTGGTATCTGATAGCATTCACCACTATATGCAGCCTTTGTACCAGCAGAGCATCCTTAGGCTATTCGGTTTCTGCAGCCACAACCAAAACGCCATTGTGCTATCATCCATCCAGTCGACGCTTGACATACTCCTGGCAACGCACAACCCATCAATAGACCAATTCAGTCTACGCCACTTCAGATGCCTACGCCTGGGAGTGATATACTGCTCTTTTGTTTCCAATCTCAGTAGTCTCCATCGCCTTCGTCGTCGTCTGGTACCAATCGTTGTCGCCAGTCTGGTCAAATTCAAGGCGCAGAAGGTCCGTCATGAGCTGATTCTCTACAGGCACCCGAATATGCCAATGCACATTGCTGGGGGATACTGATCGCATCTGGGTCTTGTTCCACGGCTGACATAAACTGGTTCAAATTCTGATCAAGCAGCTTCGCCCTGCAAAAGGGACTTCAAGGACCCACAGACGACGTTCTTGACAAGGACGTGCAATCTTCACCTCGAGCCATTCATTGCGACTCTTCACTCCCAGTTCTGGCCACAGCCCAAGCCAAGTCATTGAAGAGTAAGCTGCTACCTCCACCGATTGCGGCAACACGTCGGTGGATTCGTCGTCTTCGGGAACTCTGAAGCCTGGTGCCCAGGACTCGACTCCGTGAGGCAACGAAAAGGCGCGCTCATCTCCACAGCTTCGACGTTAGCACAGCGCCAAGGGCGCATCCATCTCAGAAAACTGCGTTCGGAATCTTTATCCTTGTTTCCCTCCGGCTTCACTCTTTAGAAGCTAAACCTCCCCTTCTCTTGTCAGAGTTTCCTTGGTTGCCTCTTGCTAAGACGGTTCGTCCGTGATTTAGTAAAACAGCAAAGAGGCAAAACAATGAAGTATTGAATCGAATCGAATGATTCAATCGTTTTGAGGCTCCGAGAGCATAAAGTAGAGGCAAGTGTGCGTCTAAAAGGAACGGTTCGGAGCTCTCTCCGTGGAGCCTCTCTCTTCAAGAAGAGGACTCATTCCTTCTTCCAACAGCACCATGAAGAGCAATGGTGAATGTAACCTACAGAATGGCTAATAGAGCCACAGTACAGTGCTGAGACTTTTTCTATAGACCAACTAGACCGCTGCGGTCGCAGTGGTAATGCCCGTTTGGACCAGATCAGGTTTGAATAGTGGCTTTGTTGCAAAAGTAGTATAGTAGACACCCCTGTCCACTATCGTCTTCTTCGTGAAGTCGCAAGCACAAAGTAGACCATGCACTCCATGAATGCTGGCTGAGAGAATGAAGTGAATACAATCATGCACAGACCAACCATAGTATTCTCGAATACGAGCAACCTCACCGAAAAAGAAAGAAAAAAGGTGCTCTAACTGACTGTACATGTGTACTACTACTACCTACGCAAGCATGTACTACTACTACTACCACCGATGCACTACCATGAATCATGATTCCAAGGCTGATCTACCCACCACTCCACAGTGACATCAAGAGGTATCTGTTACTCTATGGAGAGCAAGAGCACCACACAGGCTAGAACCTTTAGTGGCCAACAGTTGATCCTGGGTAGACTATACTCCAAGAGACTCCCTTTCCGGGGAGGGACAGAACGACTGTGACTATCTGTGGAGTGCAACGGCCTTGAGAAATGCATAAAGGCCCCACAACAGATCTACGCGGAAGCTATGCCAAAATTTTTGCGGCGAACTTCTACTACTGCAAACCAGCCAGTGCCGTTGTTACAGCCAGCATTACCTGTTCCACCCCCAGCCCAGTCCCAACAGCTTCACCACTTCGAACCATTCGCAGTGGTTCCCACAAGCTCTATCAAGTTTCCCACATCTCCCAGCCAGTTTTCCATCTGAGGAACCAGCTGTCAAAGAAGGCTTCTTTCCAGATGCCCCAGCTGTCACAGAACACATCAGGTTCCATCCCATCTTGCAAGTCTTGGTGTCCCCAGCTGTCACAGAACACCACATGTTCCATCCCAC